TGTATGTATGTATGTATGTATGTATGTATGTATGTAATGTATAATGTGTATGTGTATGTATGTAATGTATGTATGTATGTATGTAATGTATGTATGTAATGTATGTATGTATGTATGTATGTATGTATGTATGTATGTATGTATGTATGTATGTATGTATGTATGTATGTATGTATGTATGTATGTATGTATGTATGTATGTATGTATGTATGTATGTATGTATGTATGTATGTATGTATGTATGTATGTATGTATGTATGTATGTATGTATGTATGTATGTATGTATGTATGTATGTATGTATGTATGTATGTATGTATGTATGTATGTATGTATGTATGTATGTATGTATGTATGTATGTATGTATGTATGTATGTATGTATGTATGTATGTATGTATGTATGTATGTATGTATGTATGTATGTATGTATGTATGTATGTATGTATGTATGTATGTATGTATGTATGTATGTATGTATGTATGTATGTATGTATGTATGTATGTATGTATGTATGTATGTATGTATGTATGTATGTATGTATGTATGTATGTATGTATGTATGTATGTATGTATGTATGTATGTATGTATGTATGTATGTATGTATGTATGTATGTATGTATGTATGTATATGTAATGTATGTAATGTATGTATGTATGTATGTATGTATGTATGTATGTATGTATGTATGTATGTATGTATGTATGTATGTATGTATGTATGTATGTATGTATGTATGTATGTATGTATGTATGTATGTATGTATGTAATGTATGTATGTATGTATGTATGTATGTATGTATGTATGTATGTATGTATGTATGTATGTATGTATGTATGTATGTATGTATGTAATGTATGTATGTATGTATGTATGTATGTATGTATGTATGTATGTATGTATGTATGTATGTATGTATGTATGTATGTATGTATGTATGTATGTATGTATGTATGTATGTATGTATGTATGTATGTATGTATGTATGTATGTATGTATGTATGTATGTAGTTTATGTATGTATGTATGTATGTATGTATGTATGTATGTATGTATGTATGTATGTATGTATGTATGTATGTATGTATGTATGTATGTATGTATGTATGTATGTATGTATGTATGTATGTATGTATGTATGTATGTATGTATGTATGTATGTATGTATGTATGTATGTATGTATGTATGTATGTATGTATGTATGTAATGTATGTATGTATGTATGTATGTATGTATGTATGTATGTATGTATGTATGTATGTATGTATGTATGTATGTATGTATGTATGTATGTATGTATGTATGTATGTATGTATGTATGTAATGTATGTATGTATGTATGTATGTATGTATGTATGTATGTATGTATGTATGTATGTATGTATGTATGTATGTATGTATGTATGTATGTATGTAATGTATGTATGTATGTATGTATGTATGTATGTATGTATGTATGTATGTATGTATGTATGTATGTATGTAATGTATGTATGTATGTATGTATGTATGTATGTATGTATGTATGTATGTATGTATGTATGTATGTATGTATGTATGTATGTATGTATGTATGTATGTATGTATGTATGTATGTAATGTATGTATGTATGTACTGTATGTATGTATGTATGTATGTATGTATGTATGTATGTATGTATGTATGTATGTATGTATGTATGTATGTATGTATGTATGTATGTATGTATGTATGTTATGTATGTATGTATGTATGTATGTGTATGTATGTATGTATGTATGTATGTATGTATGTATGTATGTATGTATGTATGTATGTATGTATGTATGTATGTATGTATGTATGTATGTATGTATGTATGTATGTATGTATGTATGTATGTATGTATGTATGTATGTATGTATGTATGTATGTATGTATGTATGTATGTATGTATATGTATGTATGTATGTATGTATGTATGTATGTATGTATGTATGTATGTATGTATGTATGTATGTATGTATGTATGTATGTATGTATGTATGTATGTATGTATGTATGTATGTATGTATGTATGTATGTATGTATGTATGTATGTATGTATGTATGTATGTATGTATGTATGTATGTATGTATGTATGTATGTATGTATGTATGTATGTATGTATGTATGTATGTATGTATGTATGTATGTATGTATGTATGTATGTATGTATGTATGTATGTATGTATGTATGTATGTATGTATGTATGTATGTATGTATGTATGTATGTATGTATGTATGTATGTATGTATGTATGTATGTATGTATGTATGTATGTATGTATGTATGTATGTATGTATGTATGTATGTATGTATGTATGTATGTATGTGTATGTATGTATGTATGTAATGTATGTATGTATGTAATGTATGTATGTATGTATGTATGTATGTATGTATGTATGTATGTATGTATGTATGTATGTATGTATGTATGTATGTATGTATGTATGTATGTATGTATGTATGTATGTATGTATGTATGTATGTATGTATGTATGTATGTATGTATGTATGTATGTATGTATGTATGTATGTATGTATGTATGTATGTATGTATGTATGTATGTATGTATGTATGTATGTATGTATGTATGTATGTATGTATGTATGTATGTATGTATGTATGTATGTATGTATGTATGTTATGTATGTATGTATGTATGTATGTATGTATGTATATGTATGTATGTATGTATGTATGTATGTATGTATGTATGTATGTATGTATGTATGTATGTATGTATGTATGTATGTATGTATGTATGTATGTATGTATGTATGTATGTATGTATGTATGTATGTATGTATGTATGTATGTATGTGTATGTATGTATGTATGTATGTATGTATGTATGTATGTATGTATGTATGTATGTAATGTAATGTATGTATGTATGTATGTATGTATGTATGTATGTATGTATGTATGTATGTATGTATGTATGTATGTATGTATGTATGTATGTATGTATGTATGTATGTATGTATGTATGTATGTATGTATGTATGTATGTATGTATGTATGTATGTATGTATGTATGTATGTATGTATGTATGTATGTATGTATGTATGTATGTATGTATGTATGTATGTATGTATGTATGTATGTATGTATGTATGTATGTATGTATGTATGTATGTATGTATGTATGTATGTATGTATGTATGTATGTATGTATGTATGTATGTATGTATGTATGTATGTATGTATGTATGTATGTATGTATGTATGTATGTATGTATGTATGTATGTATGTATGTATGTATGTATGTATGTATGTATGTATGTATGTATGTATGTATGTATGTATGTATGTATGTATGTATGTATGTATGTATGTATGTATGTATGTATGTATGTATGTATGTATGTATGTATGTAATGTATGTAATGTAATGTAATGTAATGTAATGTAATGTAATGTAATGTAATGTAACGTAACGTAATGTAATGTAATGTAATGTAATGTATGTATGTATGTATGTTCGTTGCTGCTGGTCTAAGCAAACATTCAAGCCATGCGTATGGTCTTCTGCCATGGTACCTGCCAAGTAGCAGGTTGCCCAAAGCACATGTGTCCTATCTGTGGCGTACGGAATGGAACGGGCCAACAGACGGAGGAATGAGATGGAAAGAGACAGACCTCCGTCGCTCCACCTTCAGCTTTTGCGGCTCACCTTCGCTCCAGCTCCGCTCGCTTCGGCTCGACTGCGGCTCCGCTCCGGCTCGACTCCAGCTCTGATGCTGCCAGAGGGGGGTGACGGTGTGTGAACGTACATACCAATATATACATATATATATATATACACACATGCATACATACATACATACATACATACATACATACATACATACATACATACATACATACATACATACATACATACATACATACATACATACATACATACATACATACATACATACATACATACATACATACATACATTACACTACATTACATTACATCACATCACATCACATCACATCACATCACATCACATTACTTTACCCACATACATACATACATGCATGCATGCATGCATACATACATACATACATACATACATACATACATACACTCAAGTTCTCCAACCTAGGTTTGAACCAGGGTTCAACCTGAGTCTGAACCTGGGGTGCAATCCTCGGTTATGCCCAAGTTTCGAACCTATGCCTGAATACATTTCCACATCAGTACCACCAACTACTAATAATACTACTACTACTACTAATACTACCACCTACTACTACGACTACTGTTACTACTACTACTACTACTGCTGCTGCTGATGCTGCTGCTGCTGCTACTACTGCCACTACTATTACTATTATTATTACTAGCTCAGTTCGGGTCCGGTTCCTGCGACTCTGATTTGTACATGAACTTGAACTGAGCCAGATTTGACTCAGTTCGGGTTTGGGCTCGCGTGACGAACTAAGCTTGAACTGGTACAATTCGAGTTTGAGTTCGCACGAGCCTGAACTCAACTTGAACACCTGCACTAGTTCAGTTCGGGTTCGGGTTGGCGTGAACCTGAACTCGGGCTGGGCGGGGTACATAATGATGTGATCATATTTTGGTTGACTCGGTGTAGGCCTAGTTTGCCAGCTTTTTTGGTTCGCGGCGATTTGAGCTGTTGTTTGTGGTTTAGACCCAAAAACACACACGCGCACACACACACACACACTTCGGAGAACTTCGTCTAAAGCTGACCTCACCTTACCCTACCCTGTTTTTACCACAGCTCTCTTCCGATGTTCTTTTACACTGCAATTTGTATGTCCATGGTGCTAGCTTTTGTTGCATGCAGCTGCCGTTTGAAATGCATTTTTTCTGGTATGTGAGCTGCGTCGGGCACTGTTTTCTCGAAACGTGTGGGAGCGTCTGTTTTCGTGACGCAATTAGAGCCAATGCCATGTGTGAATGATTGGTAAATCGTGCTTTGCATGGGATCAGACAGGCTGAAAGTTTTGACGCTCCGGCGAAGCTTAGATCTCAAGACTTGGCAGCGGGGCGAGAACCCGCAGGCGGGAACGGAAAGCGAGAGCAACCTTCGCAACAGCTTGACACGGCCAAAACCGTATCATTTGATTTGCATGTTGGGTGTATCTGTTTTTGAGGTCCGTCTTGTGGGTTGAAGAGCAACAACAATGTTCAGGGGGTCCCCTCAAAAGCGGGATTGGCATCAAACAAAAACTTATTAGGGATCAAACAAACTTATTAGGGATCGAAAAACAAGTTATTAGGGATCAAACAAACTTATTCTCATTCCTATGGGGAGAAGGAAGGAAGGAAGGAAGGAAGGAGGGAAGGAAGGAAGGAAGGAAGGAAGGAAGGAAGGAAGGAGGGAGGGAGGGAGGGAGGGAGGGAGGGAGGGAGGAAGGAAGGAAGGAAGGAAGGAGGGAGGGAGGGAGGGAGGGAGGGAGGGAGGGAGGGAGGGAGGGAGGGAGGAAGGAAGGAAGGAAGGAAGGAAGGAAAGAAGCAAGGAAGGAAGGAAGGAAGGAAGGAAGGGAGGAGGGGGGAGGGAGGGAGGGAGGAGGAAGGAAGGAAGGAAGGAAGCGCCGCCCCACCCCCCCCCAACCACCCCGCTGATTTGTAGAATGTTTGCCGTGATTAACGCACCCTTTGATGAATCATCACTTCTTCGATCATCATCACCCTTTGTTGAATCATCACTTCTTCGAACATCATGCGGGGGGCTGCCGCCCCCCGCAATCCCCCTGCTGATTTGTAGAATGCTTACAGAGCTTAACGCACCCTTTGTTGAATCATCACTTTTTTGAACATCATGGGGGGGGCCTGCCGCCTTCTTCGATCATCATCCCCCTTTGTTGAAACATCACTTGATCGAACATTCTTCGATCATCATCACCCTTCGTCGAAGCATCACTTCTGCGAACATCATGCCGCCCCCCCCCAACCCCCCTGCGAAAGTGCTGCGCCTGCCGCGATGCGAAAGTGCTGCACCTGCCACGAACTCTGTACCTGACCTTGGGAAAGTACTTCGCCTGCCATGAAATCTGTACCTGACCTTGCGAAAGTGCTGCGCCTGCCGCGAAATCTGTACAGTACCTTGCGAAAGTGCTGCGCCGCAAAATGTGCACCTGACCTTGCGAAAGTACTGTGCCTGCGACGAAGTCTGTACCTCACCTTGCGAAAGTGCTGCGCCTGCCGCGAAATCTATACCGTACCTTGCGAAAGTGCTGTGCCTGCCACGAATTCTGTACCTGACCTTGCATCCCTAACAAAGTTTTTTGATCCTCTGAGTTTTCATTTCAATAGGACATTTAAGATAATAAGTTTTTTTGACCCCTAATAAGTTTTTTTTGTTTATCTTCAGGAATACGTTTTTTTGATGCCTAAAAAGTTTTTTTTGATCCCTCACCCCTCAAAAACAACACGCCCTGTTGCTGTTTGTTGCCATCTTGGTTTGCCCGCTGATATTTCTTTTTTGGAATGACATATGATGGCAATCAAGGGTGTTTGGCGTTGTATCCTTGTCATTATCGGAGTCTGGTTGGATATGATGGAAATCTATCATTTGATGCTGCAACGGTCAGACCTTGTTGATGTGCAGAAAACGGACACCTCACGTGGATGGGGGTTTTCCGTATCTAAAAAACAAAGACCAACCTCGTGGGAAACCCTTGACAGATGAAGAGGAACATGCTCATCAAAAGAAATGCGTCATTCATGTGTGCATTTGTTCGTGAAATCTGTTCTTCGCTCCAGTAGCTACCAACAACGAGGAAGACATAACCGTCAAGAAGTCGTAGCAACACAAACAGCAACCACATCTTCCAGAAAGCTCTAACTCATAGCTAAGGATATACAATAGCAATAGGAAGCGCAACAGCAATCATGAACACGCCACGCAAGGGCAAGGCAACGAGGGCAGGCAAGAACATGACCGCAGATGAAACAGGGGTCACATTGACAACAAGGCGGTGCAAAACCCGTGACGCGATTCACACACAACACGTACCCCGACAGAGAGATGGGCAAAGGGGAATCACCATTTTGGGGGTCCCCCAAAAAACAACCCAGATGACACTTGTGGGAGGGTACCTGGAAGAAGATGGGTCAGGTGACCCAGGTGCCATGTTGTTGGGAAGGTAACAGCAGCGGAAATAGCATTTCAAGCGGAAAGCAGCAGGGATAGCAGGAGCACGCATCACTCACCGAGACAAGAGGGAAAGACAGGAGCAACAGGGCCAACCAAGCCAAGATGGGGTCGTGTCTAACATGGAACCTGACTTTCCTATGTTCCTTTAAAAGGAACCTCTGGGTTCCGCTTTGGACCAGAGGGTATCTTTCCTTGCCATGATCTGGAGGTTGATCAAAAGGTCCTGTACATGGGATGACTCTTGGGGAAAACCCACGAAACAAATCATGTTTTCCACTGAATGGGACAAGTTTCCCAGGGTCATTCCACTGAATGGGACAAGTTTCCCAGGGTCATTCCACTGAATGGGACACGTTTCCCATGGTCATTCCACTGAATGGGACAAGTTTCCCATGGTCATTCAACTGAATAGGACAAGTTTTTTCCATGGTCATTCCACTGAATGGGACAAGTTTCCCAGGGTCATTCCACTGAATGGAACAAGGTTCCCAGGGTCATTCCACTGAATGGGACGAGTTTTTCAGGGTATTCCACTGAATGGGACAAGTTTCCCATGGTCATTCCACTGAATAGGACAAGTATTCCATGGTCATTCCACTGAATGGGACAAGTTTCCCATGTTCATTCCACTGAATAGGACAAGTATTCCATGGTCATTCCACTGAATGGGACAAGTTTCGCATGGTCATTCTACTGAATGGGACAAGTTTCCCAGCATCATTCCACTGCATGGGACAAGTTTCCTATGGTCATTCGACTGAATGGGACAAGTTTCCCATGGTCATTCCACTGAATGGGACAAGTTTCCCACGGTCATTCCACTGCATTGGACAAGTTTCCCAAGGTCAACCTGCGTTTGACACGTGATCAGATCGGCAATTGATTCAGGTGCTCGATGAGGGCGCTCGCGGCTTTGGTTTCACTGGCATGGCCCCTCGGGGCGGTACCGGAAGCTCAGCGGCGGTTGGGGTCGAGCGAAGTGACGAAACTGGGGTCACATTGTTTGGCAGATTTTCATGTTATTATATATACAAATATATAAATACAATTACGGGTGAGGTGTTCTTTTTCTTTTTGGGGCTGAGGTCTGGTTCCCTGGAAGGTGGTGGGTGGGTTGGTTGGTTGGTTGGTTGGTGGGTGGGTGGGTCCCTGGCATCACCAGCCTCGCTTGGGCGTGGGTGGCAGTTGGGAGTTGATTATAGACCGGGTTTGATTTTGCTAAGGGTGGTCTTGGTTGTTTTGGGGGTCATTTAGGCTCAGCAAAGGGCTGGCGACTGATTTCTGGTTTTGCTACTTCAGTAGGATAATTGGGACAATTATGTAAATTTGAGTGCCCAAATTGGCAAGTTATACTGATTATCTTGATTAGGAAGAATTTCGCACTTAGGACAATCAGGTGAACTTGAGTGCGAATTGGCAAATTGTCCGCCTTTCTCCTAATTCACCAAAGCCATCCTAAACCAGCCCAAAAACTCACTTACATAGGTGGCCTTTTTGGTTGTTTTGCTAGAATAATAGCTGGCCCTGGTTTACCTGGTGGTTTAATCGTCTACCAGGGCCATCTATTTCCCTAAAAGGACACCTATGCTCACTCAACCACACCCAGCAACTTTGAGGCCGCTGCTAAACCTGCACAAGACAAATTAGCGCCAGGCCCCACTCCAAGCCCAAATTCGGCAGCGTGGACGGCAGTTGAGCCACGTCCTCGAAACCCGGGTAGATGACTCGGTTAGTAAGGGACAATCCCAACCACAAATCTTTGATGCATTTTGCTTGGATTTTAGGACTATAACTTTTTGCCAAGTAAGGGATTTTCCATTAAACCACTAAAAGTTAAGCTTTTAGCAGCATTAAACCACTAATAATTAAACTTTTAGCAGGGGAGCAGAAAGCAACCTAGAAGTAGCTGCGGCCGCCTTCTTAATTCTTTACGTGGTTCTGGGTAGACCATTTTAATACCGGGCTTTGATTATGACTCAGTTGCTGAGCCATTCCTCCACAACTCTCAGCTGCCACAAGTGATGCCGATGCGGCAAATTATTTGCCAAAACGCCTGCAGAAGCCTCCCTGGTCCAGGTGATGCTGGGGAGTTTGCAAGCCCTGACAAAAACCTAGGAAAAAAAACAAGCCCTAGGGAAGAAATGCACCTCTACCCCGTTTCTGGCGAGTAACAAGGAAGCCAGCAGGAAATCCACAATTGCTTTCTGGGACCGCGTCATGGTCATCAACCGATTAGTAGGAAATTTAGACGATGGTTAGCAGAAGTCTTGTTGGTTTGAGGGGTTAAAACCAATTCTACCATGTCCTCTTGGGAGTCATGCAGGGACAAGGTGAATGAACCAGTGGGACCCATGTCATTGACCGTTTCCACTGACGGCCTTTGCCATGTGTTTCTCAGGATAGGGGACCCCCCCACAAACTGGCATTCCTCTTGGTTTTCCTTTTGCCCATGTGTTTCTCCAAAAATAGGACACCCCCCATCCTCCAAAAAGAGTTTCCTTCTGGTGTGAGCAAAGGCACTGGATGCGACAGCGAATTCCACCAAGTACACCGTGTTGGAGATGTACGCCGCGGCCAAGAGCGGGGACGACGTCAGCTCACCGGGCAACGTGGACCTCTTCGACGCGGCCGGTCTGGCGAAATATTTGGTCACAGAGGTGGTGGTCGAGACGGGCAAAGCGGCAGAAAGGCGGGCGTTTTTTCTTTTTTTTTTTTCTTTTTCTTTTCTGGTGGTTCTTTCAGAGTGTTTTCAAGTTGCCAAGCTTCCAATCCGAAAGCTGATTCGCAAGGCTTTATTTGTTTCAACTTAGCCAAGTTTCTCATGTCAACGTTTTTAGCGAAGAGACCTGTTAATTGGGTTTTAGCAAAACTCTCTGAGGGAATCCCTTTGAAAGCAAGCAGTGGGAAGCACGCCGATTGAAAGGCCCACCAGGGACAAGGGCATTGACACCATAGTGAAGTACCGGATCCGGGTGCGGAACAACATGAGCTCCAGCGATGTCAACGTGCAGGCGGAGTTCTCCAAATACGTGCCGTTCGAGAACGGGGCGTTGGTCACACCAGCTGATGCGGAGATGTTCGCTCGCAGCCTTGCCCTGAGTTGATGGGATACACCAGTCTCGCAATAGAAGTGCAATGGGAACCCCTGACTACTTGTTGGTGCTGAAGGAATGACCCCTACCAACCATCCCCTATGGTTTCCTTGAAGAGAATCCGTAGGTTCATTCCGAACACCTGGGTCATTCCCCACACCAGCAAGATGAATAGCCTGGTTGATAGGGGGTGATTCCCCCACATTGATTCATCATCTCGGAGGGAGCCCAGTAATGGGACGGCTTTCATCCAGGGTCAAGATTAAAATGCCTGTTGAGTGGAATGCAACAGAGCCCGTGCTCGAGACGTTGAGAGTCCTACTTTATCCAAGCCCACAACCTGTTTTTTGACTCTCTACCAATTTCTTGTTTTTCAACGGCAGAACACGAAAACGTGAGGCAACGCAATGTTTTTTGGGGCTACTGCTGGTTTCGGGACATGAGGCTTCGGGACTCGAGTAACACAAAAACAGGCACAATTCATCCGGGTCCTTTTGGGGAATCCAGCACGCTCTAGTCACAAGCTTGCGGGAGTATGGAACTTTTAAGGGGAAACCTCAGTTGCCCAAGGCGACCTGTTTGGTCCATGTTTGAAACATAGACAAGCGATATTGGTTAAAATGGTCAGAATTCAATGTCGGTGATATTGGCGTGAATCACCTTCAAGCTTGCGCCTTTGGAACACATGTCCAAGAGTCCAAGAGACACAGAGCCACCCCAAAAGGTTGAACCTTTAATTTTCCAGTCCCAAGAAACCACCGGGAAGCTGAAGCCCAGGGTGCCGGGTTCTTGGTTCTCAGGTGGGGATCTCGTTGGAGTTCAATCCTACCATCCGCCTCATGGCGATGTCCGGTATCCCCTGCAGCGCACCTTCTACTGGTTCAGCCTCAACGGGCCCTGCCCCAACCAGCCGGACGGGCAGAAGAGCTCCAACTGCACCACCTACCAGCCGGGCTTGGTGCCCAAGAAGAAGAGCCAGGTGGTGGCAGGAGGCTGATGTGTGGAGAAGGGGGGGCAATTTTTTTTTGGGGGGGTTGGGGGGCAATTTGTTTTGATGCTTGCAAGAAGGTAAACAGAAGCCATTGTTACGCAACCTGATTGTTTTGTTTCCCTTTAAAGGGAACCAGGGCTTGGTGGTTTGAACAAGTTTTGTCACCGAGGCCTCTGCAAGCGCTTTTTCACCAAAAACATCCCGGATGGGACTCCGGGCTGCAGTTACTACATTGAGAAGGTGGAGACGGCAAAGTTGGATTCAGTGGTAGGAATCACTGACCAAGATTGCGGAGGCCGCAAGTGCGCGGATTGGGGGGATTTCCGGTCCCACTGCAGCAACGCGACGCTCAGCTTCACGTATTCCGGGGTGAAGTACTGCAAGGAATACGACTTCCCGGACTGCATCAGTTCATGCCAAGATGCATGCAAGCCTCAGAACGAGGTGGGTGTGCATTCTTTGAGAGTTCGCTTTTGTGGGGCTTTAAAACGGAAAACACCAGGAACTGATGAAACTCATTGTTGAGTCCTGTGACACAGGTGGGCATCCCCTTTTGGACGGGTCGTTGTGACCCCGCCCGCAACGAAGAGCGCGCCGCTATGATCGAGAAGGCGTTTGGAGGCAGCCAGACGGACAGCTACTACACCACCAACCCCCGGTGCGACCAGTACGGGCCTATGTGCCGTGGAAAAAAAAGACACTGCCCCGGCAAAGAAGCGGAACACCTCGAGAGGTGTTTTCTTTCGTCATTATTTTTTCTCAGTTTTTTGGCTCCGAAGGGCCAATCCTTTTTCGGGTTTGTCAAAATGGTGGAACTTTTTTGCGAGGATGTGGGGGTTTGAAATCCGGAGCACATGACTCCCCTCGTGGCTACCGAGGGTCCTGCTTTGCCAGCGGGTTTCACGTTGGATCCTGTTGGCATATCTCCATAGCCCATGTTGGACATCCCTCTGCCAAAAAGGGGGGGGGGTCCGCGCTTGTTCAACCCCGGGCTGGGTCGGTTCGGTCGCCAGACACCCGTTTCAGGGTATGAAGTTTGATTCGGGACGCTTCGGACATCAAATTCGGGGATTTACGTCCACTCTTCCAAATTCCCCACTTGAACACTTCATCGCCAAGTCGTGGGTCCCTTTTCCGATTTTTCCCGTACTCAAATTTTTCTCAGATCCCAGATGGGTGTGGGTCAAAAACAAAAAATGGGTATGCCAAATGGGTTGCCCTAGTAAATGGAGACAAAATGGGCCTAAAACCTGCGGTCCAATTCCTCGTGGATTACTTTTTTATCCCATACCCAGATGGCTGTGGGTCAAAACCCCGAACCAAAATCCAGTGAATATCCCAATCCAACCAGTAAAATAGGTTGGGATCCTGGTGTTGACCCAGCTCCCGGGTCTCAAGGTGGGATGGAAGACCTCCACATTGGAGGGGGTGGTTTCACCCTTCGGCACTCGGAGCCAGCTCGAGCCCAGCTCCCAGCGAGGTGCAACAAGCCCCCACTGAACATCCCAATCCGCACGAACAAAGGCGAAGATGTGTGGTGCTACCCCAAAATGGTACCTTGGTGTTGACCCAGCTCCCAGCAAACTCAGGTGCAAGTTGGCTGTGGGTCAAAACCCTGTAATGCTGGTGAACATCAAAATAGGCGGCAAATGGATGTTCATCCACCCCCAAAATGGAGCCATACTGTGGATGGACAAAATCCTGCACCACTTAAGAAACTTATATAATGGAATGAAGGATTCCCCCTGAAAGTACCAACAAACAATGGCCACCCCCAAAATGGATTCCTTATTTTTCCCAACTCCCAGCGATCCCAAGGTGCAACAAGCCGGTGCCGGACGCTGGGGTGGCCTACTGCCACCGCGACGCCTCCGGGGTCTGCGACGCCTGCTACGTGCCCGGCACCACCCACCCCGCGAGCCCCAGGCCGCCCTCGCAGGCGAGGTTGTCGCCGCAACAAAAAAAATCGCCCGGCCAGCCCGCGCGCAAGGGGGTTTGGTCCGGTTTTTGGAGGGCTCCCCGTTTTTTGTTGTTTGTGTTTTTGGGTGGGGACGGCGGGTTTTAGTCCATTCCATTTACCAGGGGTCCAATTTGGGTACCTATGTTTGACCCACAGAGGTTTCTTTTAAAGGGAAACCCAAAAGGACCCCAAGCATCATTTTGGGTCCCCACATGTTTGGCGGGGATTAAAGGGAAGCCAGTTATGACCATGGCCAACTTTTCCCATGTATCATCTTCAATGTTCATCCCATGTAACCGTTGATCAACCCCCGAATGGGCGTGGCGTTTTTGAGGGTACCCCTTTGTTTGTTTCTTTTAAAGGGAAACCAAAAGAACTCCAAGCATCATTTTGGGTCCCCAAGGGTTTGGTGGGGATTAAAGGGAAGCCAGTTATGACCATGGCTCACTTTTCCCATGTATCATCTTCAATGTTCATTTCATGTAGCCTTTGATCAACCCTCAAATGGGCGGGATTAAAGGGAAAACGCCGGACACCCCCTTTTGTTGTGGTTTCCCTTTTGGTTTACCTTTAACACAAACCCAGGAGTACCGTGGGTGTCCCCTAACCAATTTCCCAACTCAACGGTGACAGCCTTGTGAAAGAGTTTCCAATGCAGGTGGCGTGCAGATATGACCTCTTCTTGAACAAGAAGCTGCCGCAGTACAAGGTTCGGGGTTTTTGATGCTTTTGCGCTACCGTTTCTTTCTTCATGTTTTGTTTTCCATTGTTGTCCTCCAACTTTTTTTTTGGTTTTAGTGTTTTTCCCAACAGCTGAAAGCTAAGGGATCTCAGCTTTGGGGGTGGCTCGGGGGAGGTTTGGAGTTATGTTTGAGCAAGGTTCCGGGGGTTCCGGGGTGGTCTGGTTCAGGCCAGGTGTAAGGTTCAAGGAAGGTTCTGGAGGTTGGTTCCGGGCTGGTGTGGCGCAGGACAATGTCAGGTTGAAGGAAGGTTCCGGAGGTTTCGGGGTCGGGTGCAGGTTGCGGGTGTCCTCAGGGCTTCGCAGGCTCTGCGAGGGTCGACAACGAGCGCCATATGCTGTTTGGGATGTCACCTGAGCTTCTTTCTTTTAGGGGGTTACTTTTTTTTTTTTTAAACCTGACAGGGCCCATGGTTTTGGCGCAGTTTCTCGGGGGTTATCAGCTTGTCAGCCGTGTCGTAACCGGCTTTGGCCTAGGGAAGGTTGGGACGCATTTTAGAGCCGGCTTGCAACTCGGCGGGCGTTTCTTCGAGGCACTTTTGGGAAGAAGGGAACTTTGGATGTCCTGGCGAAAGTGAAGGATCCCTTTGATGGTCCACCTGCTGAACTGCTGTGGTAATGGGGTCCATACGTTTGGGGTACCGGAAACGGCGCACCTTTACTTTTTGCTCGGGTGTTAGACTCTATCTTTTTGCCAACTAATGGGGTTTTCCATTAAACCAATAAAAGTTAAACTTTTAGCAGGGGAGCAGAAAGCAACCGAGTTCAACATTATTCCCAGTCCGCTTCAATGGCTCACTGGCGCAGCCGGCTCGCACTTCTCGTGCTTCCTTGAGCCCCTTGCTGGGGGGAAAAGGGGCCCGGTTTTTGCGATTTGGGACTGAGTTACGGTCATTTGCCCAGACTCTTTGGAGGCTGCATCATCAATTACAGGTCACCGGTTAATTTACAGAGTCGCTCTCAAAAAGGGAACGCTCAACAGAGCCAACTGAGCCAACCCAAAGTGAGCCAAGTCGATTTGGGAGGTTTAGTCTCCTTTAGGTCTTTAGTTCCCTTTTTGTGCCCGTTTGTTTTTGAGCTCCCCCCCCCCTTCGCTCCGCGGGAAACGATTCCTCGACGTCGTCTTTCAGGACTTCCTCCCGAAGTGCGCCTCCTCCTGCAGCGGGGCCTGCAGCTTGTCCTCCGAGAGCGCGGCCTGCTGCGTGTACATCGGCAAGTGCAAGCGGACCTGGCAGCAGGTCCGAGCGGCCGGGGGATCGGGGGACGGGGGGGGAAGGGGGGGGTCTTAAAAATAATTTGTGGGTCAAAAAGTTATTCACAAGGAGATGAACCTGCAAGGTGGTTGTCCTCGTTTTTTCATTTCCAAATGGGCAACCCATTTGGGGTACCAATTTTTTTGACCCACAACCAAGTGGGCGTGTCTGTTTTGATGTTGTGTTGCGCTCGTTTTGGTTTCTGCTCTGACAATCAGAAGGACTCGGGTGGGCTTTCCGGATCGGAACCCTTTTTGGGTCATTTGAATTTGAATGGGGACACCAAAGAGAAAACCAGAATTTGAAGGGTTCCTAGTGACACTTGTCGTATACCGTCAAACACGCACCCATGTAGCCCAAACAAAACTCTGGTTCCAGGAAAAGTTTAAGCAGGGGATCTGAGGACAGTCCGATGAACATGAGCAGCGCACTTAAAAATGACTGACGCGCATGAGCGACAGGCATGAACTTTGAAATCACAAGCAATACGGGTATGGGTCAAAATCAAACCACCAGGGCGCTGCAGGCTTTTATCCTTGGTTCCATTTGCCAGGGCAACCCATTTGGGGTACCTATTTTTTGACCCGACCCACAGACGCATGACCAGCCAAATGGCTGTGGTTCATGCTTGGACCCCCAAATGGTTGGCATGCATCTTAAATGTGAACTGGGCGGTTATCGCCTTTTGGGAAGTTGACAGCCAAGGAAGGCTCGATTCCATACCCCTTTGTTGGCTAAAGGACAACCAAAAGTGGTTCAAGAGCAACAAAAAGGGAACGCCGCCCCTTTTCCTTCTTTTTTTGGGCGGGAGGGGGCGGGGGGCGTATGGGTCCCCGAATACACAGACACCCAAAGTGTGTGAGTTTTTTTCTAGCTACCACTGAGACCCTTTAAGAGAACATGGGCTCTCCGTTGCCCTTTCAACCGCCAGGGCCATTTCTTTTTTCATCTGCCACGAAATGGGACCCAGCCCAAGTGATGGTTTGCTTTCGGCGAGCCAGTTGAAAGGGACACAAAACTTGGTGGCGAAGCCAGCCATTCGGTTCAACTTAGCTTTTGAGCCTTTTGGTGTTTAGTGGTAGTTTTCATTTGACCCACTAAAAGTCAACCATTTAGCGGGGGATCTGAGGGCAGCCCAGTAAAGGTACGCATTTTGGGTATGCCCAAAATTTGGGACAAAAACAACACACGCCCAGGATTCCTGTGATTCCCTTCGAGTCATGGTCCTTGAAAACCACCCCAAGAGAACCCTCACACAAATAATGCCTTATCCGTTTTTTTTTTCCCCTTCTTTTTTTTTGAATTTTGCCAAGATTACTTTTGAGGGATTCTCAAGATGACTGCAGGAAGACTGGGGTTCCTGTGATGCTGACTGCGGCAACGGCACCCGGTACCGCAAGGTGGGGTACGTTCGCGTTCGCGAGCTGAAAAAGATGGGCAAAATATAAAAGCTGGAGGGTGTTTGTTATGTGTTTTGTGGTTTTTCTACGGAAGGATTCTATTGATTCTGGTTGACTCGGATGGAATTCTTCTGTTTGGTGATGTGTGAATCCTATGTGTGCTGAAATGGCGTACCGTTTTGACCCAAGGCGTACAATAATAACCCGGGTTGGCTTTTCTTTTTTCGCCATGCGACAAGAAAAGTGTCAGATTATGGGTGGTAACCCCATGGTGAGTTACCCCCCCCCCCCCCGAATGGCAGGTAACCCACAGTTGGCTTTTGCGGTTTGACACATGTTCAGCATCGCCAGCCTCAAAACGAGGGACTCCTGTAATGAAAGGGAAAGCGCTAGAAGACAATGACAATGACAATGATCATGAGAATGCTCATTATGATAATCATCATAACGTTGTTGATGACAATAGTAATCATCCTAATCATAATCATAAGCATGATCAGAATCATACTCATAACCACAATCATAATCATAATAATCATCATTGTCTCATTCATAATCATAATGATAATAATACCAGTAAGAATCATGCTCAAGGAAACATCATGATGATAATGATAATGATAATGATAATGATAATGATAATAAGACAACAACACCTAGAAGGTGCATTTTCCTGCAGGGGTTGGGTGTTTCCGTCCGGTATACCTCTCATGAAACCTTCCAAACACAATTGGGACACGTCCGAATTGTCCGATGTCCTTTATTTAGGTTGAGCGCATTTTGTGATCGCTCAAATTTGGCTCCCTTGAAAGTCCGGGTATTTTGCTTTCAGCCCTGCGCTGTCAAGCGATACCCTATGGTTTCCTTTTGGTTCCTTTTTCACACCCCCGGAAGACAGACATCCCGGGACTCCCTCCCAGCGATTCTTTTTCCTCAGCTTTTCTTTTGCGGTTTTCAGTTTTTTTCCCCAACAGCTGGAAGCTTTGGGGTCTCAGCCCAGATAGGCTCCGGGGTGGTCCGGGGCGGCCCTGAGCTAAGGTTCCACGAGGGTTCCACCAGGGTTCCACCAGGGTTCCACCAGGGTTCCATGAGGCTCTGCGAGGGCTGCGGGGTGGTGCGGGGTGGTGCGAGCACTAAAAAGAACACCGCATGCTGCTGGGGATATCACCTGAGCTTATTTCTTAGTTCTCGCCTTTCTTTGGGGTTTGGGTTTTCTACTGGGACCGGACCCGAGGTCTCTTGCCCCTTCGAAGACATCTTCGGCCCCTGCGACGAATCCACCCGGCCCGCAAACTCCACGGACTGCCGCGGGGACACCTGCCCCTGGAGCCCCGGCCACACGCGTTGACGGGGCGCGGGACACGCGAGGACCTGGGGGGCCAAACGCACATCACACGAGACCTGGAGCGGCGCGGGGGGGGGGGGGAAGTTCTCGCCTGGTGCGAGAGATGCAGGGAAAAAATGAGAGTTATGGACCCCCAAGAAAAACCATCCAGGTGATGCAGGGAATGAGAGGGATGGAACTCCATAGGTGTTTTTTTTGGTTGAAAATGGTTGACAAATAGAGGGCGATTCCTGGTTTACCTGGTGGTTCAATCAAGCAGGGCCATCGATTTTCCCAAAAAGGACACCTATGGATGGAACCCCAAGAAAAGCCATCCAACTGACCATTTCCCTTAAGAACACAAAAAATCCTGGGAATGAAGTTCCCACCCCCAAAAACCGCCATTGGTCTCCTTTTTGAGGGGCCCAAGGCCCGTTTTCGTTTCGCAAGGCGAAAGCCCGGGGCTCCGAGGGCCGAGGGGAGTCTAGGGCGGCTTCTCGAGGGGGGAAGCATGTTGAGAAAGGGGGAAGGGGAAGGGGGAAGGGGGAAGGGGCGGCTTTTCTTTTTTTCCAGCTTGCGCCGATGAACATGTGGAGGGGGTGGGGGAAGCATGTTGGGGAATCGCTTGAAATGGCTGGGAGGGGGGGGAAGCATGTTTAGTTGGTAGTTGCGTTGGGGAATCGCGTGAGGGCCAGCGGTAGATGAAGGTTGAGGGACAGTCCCAACCAGGAATGGCTGGGGATATATTCGCCTCGGTAACTCTGAAAAGAGCGCCACGAGAACTAATATAAGGGACGCCCCCCAAAATGGCGCATAAGAAGATTTTCGAAGCCCTGCACGACACTAGACTTTAAGGGCCCGCAGTTCTTGACGTAGGTGCTTCAAACCTAGCTGCTGAAGGACTTAAACTCTTAGCCAGTGTTCTGGCCAGCCTCTTTCTGTTTTTTTTTTGTATTACAGCCCGGGATTACACCCAGAATGGCTCGAAATATCACGGTTTTATGTGGAAATGTGCCTAAGTGGGGTCAATACCCAGTGGGTGTATTCCCAGGGTGTCATACAAAAACCCTTAGACTCTTCAACAGCGCGGCGGCTTTCCTTTTTGATTTTCCCTGTAAAAGAACCTCCAGGCCTGCAGGCAGCAGAGTGACGAAAAACCCGCTCCAGGCACAGGCACTGGAGCTTATCCACGTATCCCAACGGGTCCCAGTCACGGCAAAAGGACATGAGCCACGTCCTCAAGACCCGGGTAGATGAAGGAGAGTAAGGGACAATCCCAACCATAAATAGCTGCGGCCGCCTTCTTAATTCTTTATATACGTGGTCCTGGGTAGACAATTTTGATACTTCGGGTTTTGATTATGACTCAAATTATGACTCACATGAGTTTCTTTTTGCACAGACAAAACGCCAGAAAACAACCACGCCTAAGCTGCGAAGGCTTTTCCTCACAGGAATCTGCCTGGACCTGGCAGAGCAGTTGTCTCAGATCGGTTAAGCTATACATGGGACATATAGGTTTCACTTCCTTTTCAAGCAAAGTGCAGCCAACTATTGCCAATTTGTGTGTTGCCTTCAGCTCAGCGCCTTAAGTTTCTTTTAGCTCAAAGAATCTCAATTGTTCCTTTTTGATTTCTTGAGCTAGGCTCGGGCTGATTGGTGGCTTGGATTGGTCGTTTGCTATTCTGGGTTTTCGGGGAAAAGGAATTCCGCAAAAAAAACAACACGTAACTTGACAGATTGACACACATGCAGCACAGCTTTGCCCCCCCCCAAATGTCTCAGCTGTTGATATGAATGCACCCACATGAGCCAACTGAAGACTGGAACAACATTGTAATATAAGGCACTTGTCTTTGTGCTTTGTGTGAACGCACCCAACATGTACCAACTGAAAAGATAACTAGCATGTTATTTGTGTGTAGCATATGTCAGTCACTTGTCTTGCGCTAATATTTGCCTTTGCATGGCTTAATTCAATGCCTATGAGATGTTGCGATGAATGCACGCACATATAGTATACATAACAACCCCTTTCCCGACAAATGGAGATACCGGGAACAAGACACATCCACTTGACCGCTCCTGAACCCCGAGTCAGGTTGGAGCTGCCAGTCATAATACAAAAGAGAGCGACTTTGGTTGTCTGAATGTTGACTGGAATTGGTTGCTTCTCACAAGGTAGAGCAGGGACGCCCGAGTTTGGCCCTAGGACGATGATTCACTTTTTTCAGGCCCAATTGTTTTTGAACGTTTGAATGGCTGTCGTTCAATTTGGATTTTGTCCAGCTGTCATTTCCATCGTTTGAGGTTTTGTTTCCCATTTCAATATGTTTTTGCAACATTGTTCAGGCATCTTTTTTGCCATGCTATTCTTTAGCTTCGTTTGACATACGATTTGAAAGCCATTCATTAATCTTTTCCTTCGCGGATTCTGTCTTTGGGTTTTGTGTCCACTTTTGACAAACCATGTTTCTGCCTTTTGTACTTCGATGATTATCTTATCCTGATTTCACCCAGTTTCAATCCAGGTTTCATATCCATTGCTTCTGAGTGTTTCTGATCTTTTCATTGGTTTCCATCTTTTGTGGCACCACCGGCTGCCTTCTGACATCTTCAAATTTTGGGCCCCCAAAGTCGAATCGGAGCAGCCCTGCCTCCGGAGCGTAAAGAAGCCCAACTCTTCAAAGGTCCTCGATTAGGGTTTCCAGTATTTCCAGCTCAGGAATTATCGTAGTCATACTGGCCCCAGTATTTCACCATTATCAAGGGCACCGCCTAAGTGGTAGGATACTGTTTGGTCCCTCTGCTCTGTTCTTCTGTTCCCTTTGTTCAGTTCTGTTCAATCCCTGCAATCCTTGCCCTTTGTCTGTCAATCCCTTTAATCTGTTCCCTGCTCAATGCTCTCTTTTTGCTTTGTTTTCTCTGTTCCTCTGTTCTTTCAATTCAGAGAACTGGCAGGGCAAGCCCGATTTTTTCTGTTGAGCCAAGGTGTACAAACGGCTCTCCTGTTTCCGTGATGGGATTTAGCTTTGCTATTTGCACTTGAAAGAAACAGCCAAGGAGCAAGGACCACTTTGGGAACTGGAGCGAGTGCGACAATGGCTGTGGCAACGGCACCGCGAACCAGTCCTTGATCTGCCAGTGCCCGGATGATTGCCCGTTGGGGGACAAGGACTGGTTTCCCGGAAGCCTTCCAAGACCTCCGTGAATTTGGGCCCGAGCAAAACCCCAATCAACTCAAGCGCACCCAAATGATCAGCGCTACATCGAACACCAGACCAGCACCCTTTTCCTCACCTCCGAAATTTTCGATTTCGGTTTCACGCCTGTTCCACGTCAAAACAAAAAACAAAGAAAGCCCCCCCACCACTTCCCCCAATAGAATAGACCGTCCATGTTGCACATCTGTTCCACCTCTTCCACCTGTTCCACCTCTTCGGCCTTTTAGCAGGGGATGGGAAAACGACCCATTCCTCTTCCGACGAAGCCAAGTGTGCGGCCCAGCGCGCGCGCGGGCCAAGCGCGAGGAGTGCGAGAAGTCCCCGAAGCCGCCGCAGCCCAGTCGGCCGTGCTTCCCCCAGGGCAAGGCCCAGGCGGGATAGCCCAGTGCTGGAAGGGCCCCAAAGACTCGGGACATGATTTTTGTGTTGGGAAATAGCATCCCCTTTCGGGGCGCTTCCTTTTGTTATTGGTTTTCCTTGTGGTTGGTCAACACCATCCATTCTATGATTTCTTTGATTCGGGAATCCCCAAGTTCATTCTCTCATTCCCTAGCGAGCACCAGCAAGTAAACCTGTACACTTCGCAGTGCTCGGGATGATGTCGCATTTTTGAATAGTGTTTGACAAAAAAACACCGATTCCAACCGGTGCGAAGTGGATTTGTCAACAGCATCAGGTTGTTGCCCTGCCAGGGGATCCCACAAAGTTTCCGAGGCGTTTGCCTTTTCGGGGCCAAAAGTGGCGTTCGTTTCAACGGGAACCGCCAGCTCTTGGCAGTTTTGTTGGGAACTATATATAGAATCCCTCCAAATGGTGGATAGTCATGTGAGGTTCAGGGAGGGGGGAGGAAACGGGGGAAGGCGACATTCACCCCAACACCCCACAAGAAAGGCTGCTTATTTCTTTAACTTCCACAGCAACATAGCCGTGTATATTCTTTTTGGGAAACCCCACAGACCGCCCAAGACAGGTCGTTGAAAGCGGGGAAGGTGACCCTCAAAACCCGCAAGAGAGGCATGCTTCTTTAATTTCCACAGAAAAACACAACCTTTTTTTTGTGGAAACCCTACAGGTCGTTCTGCGGTTCACCCCCAAAAAACACACAAATCGGCCCTTTGCGCTGGGGGGGTGAAATTCTTGTGGCCGACTGAACTCCACATGAGGGAGGGATTGCTTCCGCTTCCAGAGGTCGAAAGGATTCTTGGGACAGCCTGAGTCAGAAAAGCGGTGGCTCTCTTTGCTTTGGCGCATTTTGCAGAGGGGGATGTTAGGACTGAACAACTGTTTGCCCACAAATTTTTGGGTTTTCCAAATTAGACCACGCAAAGTTAAAAAACTGTTGGCAGGGGGGCAGAAAGCAACCGAGTTTGGGATTCGCCCCATAGCCAGGTTTTGACTACGGGAGCAAACCAGAACATGGGCTGTTGTAAAAGGACTTCCTTTTTTGATGAAAGGGGTCCCTGACCAAATGGGGTCGAGAAGAAAGAGTGCCTTTGTTGCCCTGACAAGGGGTTCAACATACTGGGTAATTTGAAATTCATGCGCCCTGAAACACCTACCCTTCCCAAAGTTCAAAGAGGGGTTGCCCCACCATGTGACTGTGGGTCAACACCAATGGGATCCTATTTTGGGGTAGGTGCATCACCCATTGTACTCTATTTTAGTGGGGATTGGGATGTTCACTGGATTTTGGTAGGGGGTTTTAACGGCCATGTGACCCACGCGGGGAAGAAAGGGTCGCCTTCAGCTCAGGGCTTCTGCAGCGAGTGCCCCGCGGAGGGTGGGGACTGCACAAAATGCGCCAAGGGCTTCGATCTGCAGGACGCGGTGAGTGGCGGAAAGCTGTTGCATTCGCCGAATAAAACTTGGTGGCGAAGCCAGCCATCCGGTTCAACTTAGCTTTTTAGATCCTTTTCGTGTTTAGTGGTTTGGTTTCCGAATTTCACCCACTAAATGTTCTCAACTTTTGGCGGGGGATCTAACACCCTTTCTTTGGGTTGGTATTTGAGGGGAAATCAAGAGGAAGCCCTATTTTTTTGACAAACACACCACTCTGAGGGCTACCAGCAAAAAATACACGGTTTACCAACCTTGGTACCAACCATGTAGGGGGAGCATCATTTTGGGCCTCGCATCAGTGGGTCGTCTCGGAGTTTCTCAACATGGGATTCCCCTAAAAACGGCTGGTTTTCTAGGGGTAGCTTCCCCATTCTTCCCAGGGATCCGAATCTTTCTAGAACACCACCAAAAACCCTGGTTGGAAATGGCTGGCTTTTGAAAAGAACGATAGCTGAAAAGAATAGGGAATCAACCCCGAGAGGTTTCCCGTTTAGATACAATTCAAAGGTGTTCGCCATATTGAGAAACCTTCATGCTTTGTTATATGGGTGTTGTTTTTTGGGGGACCCCAATATGGTGGTTTTCCTCTGGGTTTCGCTTTAAAACCACAACGTCGAAATACCTTGGAAAAACACACACCCATATGTGATTTTCATAGGTTGAACCAAATCGGATATGTGGTTGGAGAACATAAACACCTGAGCAGCGTCGAACCCCCCCCCCCCCCTTCACCCCCCCAAGGAGAAAGCAAAAAGCAAAAAAAAGGCCGGTTCAGCAGGGTGCTCAAACATGTTTCAGCAATCCCTGTCATTTTTCCTATCCATGTTGGAACCAACCGGCAAGACCATAGGTGTCCTTTTGGTTGTGTTGGTCGAAAACATAGCATGGCGATTCCTGGATTACCTGGTGGTTTCATCATCTACCAGGGCCATTTACTTCCCCTAAAAGGACACCTATGGGCGAGAAAACCTCCAGAAAACCTCCAGAAACCCAGGGAACACGGCAGGTTTTTGAAAAGAACGATGTGGAATCAACCCCTGCAACCATGTTGGAACCAACCAGCGAGACGTTTTTCTCAGACTTGAGCTAGGACACCAGCTGCCGCCGCTCCAAGCGAGTTGCCCTGGCCACTTATCAGGCGAGCATCTGGCAAATCAAGTGGGGTTTGGACAAAAAGACACCGCGGGGTGGGTGCGTTTGTTTTTGGTGGACCCACAAAATAAGCGGCTTTGGGGTTTTTGTTTGGGTTTTCGCAACCCGAGCCCTGTGCTGTTTCTTTTTCTTGGGTTCGTTTGTGCGGGTTGGCTTTAGGCCGAAATCGAAAGGAACGCCGCCCTTGTTTTGAACTAATATTTGACTGCCTGGATTTACTCCGTGGTCAACTACCTAGAAGTTCTTGTCCCCCAAAACTATCATCCAATTTTCTTGGTGGCTCCCAGCCATCCGGTTCCTTAGCTTTTTAGATCCTTTTAGTGTTTAGTGGCAGTTTCCATTTAACCCACTAAAAGTCCTAAATTTTTAGTGGGGAATCTGAGGGCAGCCCAGTTTTGAGAGGCATGTCCATTTGCAGGAGGGTACTTGTCAAGGTGAGACGGTCAAGAGTTGGGCTCCCGGATGAACACCAACATTCCGGTGGCCCTGTGTTGGTGGAACCGCTGGTTCTTGTGGGTACATGGGAAAGAAATGCCCTAACCACCGATCCCAACCACAAAAAATAGAGGGAGCTTCAACATGCACTCGGCCATTTGAACCGGTCCCCGGTCTTGATACATGCGCCCAAGAAACTGCCGGTTTTGGCGAGTGAGCGTCTGGGTTGCTGGCGCCTTTTTTTGCAAGGCTTCCGAGCACCGGCTCGGAAAGCAGCTGATTGGATTCACGCAACCCGTTGTGTTGAAACTGACTTCTGCTCTCATGGCAAAGGTGTCTCACATCCTCGAGTGAAGAAAGGGATGGCGATCGATTCTACAAAGAGTCTACTGTAAACTCGATGGATCTACCATCCATTCCCATCTTGAAGGCTTGACGCGAAGAGCCAGTTACTCATCCACGCTGAGTGGTAACCTGGTAGGATGGGGCAAAGTCTGTGCGAAAACCACCAGACCCTGGCCAGGCAGGCAAACACACATGTGGAAACGACCCCTAAACTGCTCATGTTGTTTTTCCTTGTGGTTTACCACCAGAGCTGGAACAAACGAAAACACGGTGGATTTTACACCATGGTGGTGTACACTGTTTACTCCATGGTTTTTTACCATGGAGTTTTTCAACCCAGGACGTTTGACCGTGGCGAAGCCTGGGCCGGTTTCGGTCGTTTCCACGTTTCCAGGTGGAGGCGCCAGGGCTGTCGCTGAAGAGCGAGTGGCTCGCCTCGGCCTTTGTGCCCGCCTTTAAGGATGCGCTGCTAGGCCCGGGGGTTGGGATGGCTGAAGTTTGGAGGGGTTGATGTCTTAGTTTGAGGCTTGCTGTACTATTTGAACGGGGCATGGAGCAGTTTTGCCTCGCTGAAGTCAAAGAGTTTCGATGTTTTCCGACGGGGAGATGTGGGGTTTTAGAGTGTGAGCGACGCCGGGGCAACGGGAAACCGTATTTTGAATGTCGGTGATTTCCTTACAATTTATCAGGTACGCAAGCGTAGCCCTCAACTGCTTGTTTGATTCGATCCCCAGCTGGGACAGGTATGCCCCGAACGTCCAAACCACCACCACCCAAACCAACCACCAAATTGGCGATTTGGGTGAATTTCGTGCTCGGGAAGTCTTGATGCCACTTCAGAGCGGATTCCAACGGATCGAGCGGATGAGGCGCCACCAACGTGTCCGTGGATGTGTTGAACCTCACAGACAGCCCTGCCGTGGCGTCGCTGCTCGCGGCGCGGGCGCTGCGCGCGCTCGCGGACAACAGCTCAGTGTATGTAGCCGTGGCAGCGGAGGGGGAGGAGAGGTCGGCGAAATTGGTTGCAAGAACTGCTCACTTCCTGAGTTCATGAACTTTAAACTTTTTGGGAAGACCATTTTAGTGGTACAGAATATAAAAGTTTGGACCTTTTTGGGCCATCCACTCAGCAAGTGAGACTAGGGCATGGGCTCGAGTTTCTGCCCTTTCGGGGATAGGGATATGGGCTGCAACGCCTTGACCAACACCTTGCGAGTGCTGAGGTGGCTGTGGTTGTCAAAACCAATCGGATCCCATTTTGGGACCTATGTTAGTGGTTGGATTGGATTGGGATGTTCACTGGGATTGGATTGGGATGTTCACTGGGGGCTAAACGATTTGGATTTTGACCCATGGCCAGGTTGATTCCGGATTGATGCGTTTGTGGCTTTGCAGTCTTGGGGTGTTCCGGATCCCAAAGGCGGATCCATTTCTGGAAATGGACCTGGAGGGCTCGTTTGACCGGGTGTCCAAAAGGAAGTGGTTACCTACTATACCGGGGAATGGCCATGACTTCCAACAGGAAGCTGCCCTGAGAAGTGACAAGTGGACATGTCATCTCATCCGGGATTTCGATGTCCATGGGACCATTCCAATTCACACCCTCTCTGTTTTTTTTATTCAAGGGTTCCGACTCCCCATGGATTCGGTTTTCCTTTGGTTTCCCAAACCCGGATGGGTTTCCCCACCCCCGGGCCCACCGACACCTTCGGCGCTTCGGCCTCAGGATGACGAGGACTTGGCGCAGCTGAAGACCAAGATGGCGAACAACCTGGATCAGATGGCCAAGAGCCTTCCCCAGGCCTTGGGTTTTCGATTGAGAGAAGAGGACTCAAACGGGGCCCGGAACACCCCTGGGTGGTTTCCGCAGCTTTTCCGGCCAAAATGCCATCCGACATAGTTCCTTGGGCATGTCTTGGCTGGTTTTTTGAGGGGCGGCAAATGGGACATATCCATTTAGGGGTTCCCCAATTTTGAGACAAGCCATGCCTGAAAATGGGGATTTGCACCGCGACCCGCAACATGGGTCGGCTTTTTTGCTTGGTCTCCCTTTCTCACCCCTTTTTTGGTTGGGAGGGTTGCCCGACTAAAATAGACTACAGGGTGGCCGTATTCTAACCTCGCAAAACTGGAGGACCTAGTACACACACGCACGGCGGGTGGGTTCCTTGCGCAGAGTCTCTGGGAATCATTTGGAAGCCCTGGCGGCGCCTTGACCTGAGTTGGGCATCCATTCTCAGATGCCCAGCAGACTTCCATGGGAACCAAAAAGAAGCGGCATCCTTTTTCGGTTGGTTGACTTTAAAGGAATCGGAGCACTTCCCCCAAAAACGGAAGAAATAATTGGCGCCACTGGTTGTAACTGAGCATTTTGATTCTATGTGGAGTTGACACTACGGTAGCCTGCGCTAGCTCGGCGGGAAGATCTGGAGGGCAATGTGAAGCGGGCTGAAATGGCAATGGCTTTTCATCAGGAATACCCTCTCAAGTGGTTGGTGGACATTAATTTCACTTCGAGTGATGACAATCAGAGAGTCCCTTTGAAATTCACACCCAAATGCACTCGCAGCTCGGAGTCCCTATGTTTTTTTTTTTTCAAGCTGCGGGTACCACACAACAGCGATCCTCCGAATCGTTTGGTTTCCCTTTCAAGACAACCCAAAAAGGCAGACACGTATGGGCCATATGCTTAGGTGCTGTTGATGCCCTGTTGGTTTGCTTTCCACTCCGTCCCTCAATGGCCCCTTGAAGGGAATTCCCCTCCCTAGTTTCTGCTTCCGTTTCTACCGAAAGGACTCCAGCCCCATAGAATGAGCACAGCAACAACAGGCATACGACCTACCCCCTCAACAAGGCTGTTCCAAAATAGACAAAGTGTCCACCATTCCAATGTGACAAGACGGGTTTTAGATCCAGGCGAGAATGGGATTCATCAGAAACAGACTCTTTCTGGGGAAGCCCCTCCAAATGGGCTCTGGTGTCGCTTTCGTTTGCTCAATTGGTAGGCACACCGTCAAATGCAGGATCTCCGAGGGTTTTTGGGTTGCGTCAGGAGTCAGAAACATAGGTGTCCTTTTTGGTTGGTTTGCTTAAACAATAGAGGGCCCTGGTTTAGATGGGGTTTGTTCCATTTACAATGGGGAAACCCATCTATTTTTCAAAAGGCCACCTATGGTCAGAAACGCGTTGTTTTCAACGCCGTTCTGCTCGCTGGCAAGGCTTTGGCACAGCACGGCTGCACCCCGGACCACTCCTGCCAGTTGGGCACGGTGGGCGTCAGTTTGTTGCGCGAGGAGCCGCGACGAAAGAAGCCACGCGCCAGGGATCCCATGGGTTTCGCGCTTTTTTTTTCTTCCTTGTTGCGGTAAACAGGGGTCCAAATCGAGGCGGCACTTGAAATCGAAAACGAAGACGAAAATACATTTGAAGTTGAGCGCCGCCTTGGGACTCTGAAGACGAAAATCGGGCGAAGACGAAAATGCCGTCGAAGACGAATATGAAGACAAAAATGGGGCGAAGACGAAAATGGGGTGAAGGCGAGAATGGGGCGAATGCCGCCGAAGACGAAAACGCAGACGAAAATGGGGCGAAGGCGAAGATGAGACTGCCGCCGAAGACGAAAACTCAGACGAAAATGGGGCGAAGACGCAAATGCTGCTCTTCACAACTCCCTCGTCCTCCTTTGGTTGCATTCCTTGCGCTTCGTTGCAGACGGCGCTTTCGATTCTATGCCCCGTCTTCTTCGCTTCAGACCTCTGTTCTCGGTTCCGTCTTCTGCGCTTCAGTTTCATGGCAGGTCGCGCTTTCGTGTCTAGACCTCTCTTTTCGCTCTCCCCGTTTTCTTAGTGGCTCTTCGTTGCAGATGGCACTTTCGTTGGTAGGCCTCTCTTCTCGGCTCCCACGTCTTTTTCGTCTCAGACCCTACTCGTCCTTCTTTGTTGAACTCTTTGCTCTTCTCTGCAGACGGCGCTTTCATTTCTATACCTCTCTCTTCGCTTCAAGCCCTTGCTTTTCGAAGATGTCGGCTTCTCGGCCTCGCGGCTGGTTGCCGCGTCTCACTGACTAGGTGACATTTCTCTCCGGACTGCCAAGGAGGGAGAGGGTTAGTCCCGCTCTGCTGTGTGAGACTTGGCGGGCAGTCTCGAAAGGTGGGGTTTGGGCTCCACCTGTTGGCTGTCGTGGCCACCTGCTTCATGCCCAGGCTCGTCCTTTCAGAGCCCCCCTAAGCGGGCTGCAGCCCCTCTTTGTGCGTCGCGCCACTCGCTGGCAACCTACGGGGAACCGAGAAGAGGCGAAAGTGCCGTCTGCAACGAAGAGCACCGAAGAGAACGGGGAGAGCGAAAAGATCTAGACACGAAAGCGCAGTCAGGCGCCATTTCGAATGTCAGTCGGATTTTAGTCATCAGCCGCTTGCAACCGCCAGCCGGATTTTGAACGTCACTGTAGATTTCAGGCATCAACGCCTATCTGCCTTGGAGGAACAAACAAGATTTGAAGCGTTATTTTAGTCGTCACCAGATGCTCCAACTTTGGACCCCTGGCCCGCAACCCTGCTATTTCTTTGCCAAATCGGAGCTCTCTGATTCCCAGCCGTCCGGTTCAACTTAGCTTCTTAGCTTTTTAGTGGGTTTAGTGGTTGGAATTCCGAGTTTAAGCCACTAAACGAAATCAACTTTTAGCAGGGGATCTGAGGACAGCCCAGAACCCTGAAGAGGGGTAGCAACTAACATAACATGGTTGGGAATGTTGAGAGGGAACCACCTAGCAACATGGTGGACATGAATCCCCACCTAAATGATGTCCCCCAAAGGGTCCCCAATTAAAATTCACACTTACAGACCTCTGCCATGGGCGAAAGATGAGTTCTCATGCTTGGGGATCCCTAGTCAGGTTGATGTAACTAGGTCGGACATATGGCTATGAATCTTGGTGGGTGGGGCAAAAGCTAACCTGGCTGGTGGACATACTTGTCCACATGCCCAAAGAGTTTACGATGCACATCAGACAAGCAGTTCACCTTTCCACCTTCTGTTGCACAACTCCGGCATCTCGCATTAGGTGCACTACCCATCTCTGAAAGTAAAACAATTTCATGTGCAGATGGTGGCCGCAGGACATGGATCGTCGGGGGGAATGGAAGGCTTGAACATTTATTCCGATAAACCTAGGTAAAGCTGGGGTCCAGAAACGGTGCTTTTGGAACAGTTTCAAATGCCGCTTTGCCAGCTGCATAAAAGAGGTTCCCTCTTAAAGCTGGCTTTGTTTTCGATGTAGACCCAAAGGGTCCCTTAAATCACACCCAGCTGGGTGTTCAAGCTGTTTTTTCCCTGAGATTTTCTGGTTACCATCATAGTAACCAGCAAACCAAACCATCATGCAACAAGAGGTAAGAAGCTCATACCCTTCCTCCCACTAGCAATTGTGGGAGGGAACCTGGATGATAATAGTTTTCTCAAGGTACCCCATGTCAGGTGCCACGGCAACGTGAGGGTATATGGCTGTGGGTCAAAACCGTTTTGGAACTATTTTGGGGTAGGTGAATTCACCACCCATTTGGAACCTATTTTAGTGGTTGGATTGGGATGTTCACTGGTTTATGCGGGGAATATCCCCTTAACCACCTTATTTCAGGTTGGTGAAATATTATAATTCACTCAGAACCATTATATATCAACTTATGTACCGCTGAACCCTCCGACAGCTAAAAGGAAAATGGCGAAGTTATGCTAAGATATTTGAGGTTCCTTGGCGCGGCCCCACTATTCACCCAGAACGTAAGGGTCTCTCCTTCTTCCGTTTTTGTCAGGAGCAGATGTGCCCGGAGGGCCAGGCCTGGAACGGCAACAGCTGCGGCATGCCGGGACCCGGCCCCAAGCCTCCAGGAAGCGGCCCGGAAGGGAAGAGTGGTTTGGATCCCAAGCCTTCGTGATTCCCACCAAAGGCCTGGACTTACTCCGTGGTGAACACCTAGAAGTTCTCCCCCCCAAAACTATTGCCGCGACCGGAGCTCTCTGCTTCCCAGCGGCTTTTTACATTCCTTTGGTTGGTTTAGTGGTTTCCGAATTTAACCCACTAACAGTTCTGAAGGCAGCCCAGGATTCCCACTAATCCGGTTCAACTTAGCGTTTTGGATCTTTTTGGTTGGTTTAGTGGTTGGGTTCCCGTTTATCCGCTCAAACCTTCTCAGCTTCTAGCAGGGAATCTGAACACGGACCGCCCGGAACATCTTTCTCCATTTGTTGAAATTCATGCTTTATTCATTTTCTCCTGTGGCTTTAAAGGGACTCGATTTCACTGGACATAAGTTGCACCAATTTTTCCAGCATGCTCGCAAATGGAGGTATTTCGGTGAGGCTCGGCCTGGTTTCAACGTGGCAATTCTTGCGGCCCGTCGTTTCAACCTCCTTTTGGCTCAGCAAACCGGGTCGAGTCTGGTGGTTTCAACCGATCTTGCATCCAATTTTTGTCTTTGGACACGAGAAATGCTCCTTTGACCTGTTACCCCTTCCCCAGAGCCGCGAATCCGGACGTTCCCCCTTTAGGTCTCTTATCCATTAAGATGTTAGCACGTGAAGCCACTAATATTATGAGATTGTAAGCCATTCAGATTTTCAGAGTTTCATCCATGTAGTTTCGAGACATCAATATGTTAAGACTTTAAGCCATTCAGATTGTATCAGGCTAAGCAACTAAAATTTTAAGATCTTGAGCCATTCCAATTTATAGTTTTTGAGCCAGTAAGATTTTAAGCCACTACGATTCTAAGATTTGAAGCCCTTAAGCTTCAAATATTTTAAGCCATTAAGATGCTTAGACTTTAAGCCATTGAGATGTTAACACGTTAAGCCACTAAGACTGTAAGAGTTTACTCCATTCATATTATTTGTGTGAGCCATTAAGATTTGAAGGTGTGAAGCCATTAACGTTTTAGGATGTTAAGCGATTAAGATGTCAACATGTTAAGCCACACATAATTAAGATTGCAAGCCATTCAAATTGGTTTTCATGTTTTCAGCCATTTCATTCAGATGTTCAGACTTTAAGCTGTTCAGATGTTAACACGTTAAGCCACTAAGATTTTCATAGTTCCAGCCCTCAAGCTTTTGCATATTTTAAGCCAGTAAGATTTTGAGGTTCATTGGACTCTCTCTCCGTGCCCCTTTTGTCCAAAATGTCATCCACATAATGCCGTGATGCTGGTGATGCTGGCGATGCTGTGGAGCAAAAAGCGGGCCGGGGGATCAACCACCCTACTACTATATCGGCAGCATGAGGAACACTCCCTTTTTCACTTCAAGCAGTGGGCAAAAATCTCAACCTTGCCTGTAGCCTCGCCTGAGTAGCGTGAGCCACACATAAAAATGTACAGCCTCATGCTGTGAACACAAACATGAGCGTCCACCATGCCCTCCAACCTCCCGATTCAGTGAGTCTTCGCAGATATTGCACCCATTGCTTCTTGCTTGGCTCCAGGACACTCCAAGATTGCCCAGAATTCCACCAGAGGTCTCACGCACCAGTTTGGACACGCCATGTGCCAGACTTGCCTGTATGGCATCCAAACAGTTCCAGCTCCCAGGCACTTGTGGTGAAAGCTAAGATGCTCTGTGGCTCATGTCAAGACCAGGGGACTTGCCGCTTGCACGGAACTGCTCGGTCACAGTCGCTGCTTCCAGTCGGTCAGAGCAATGTCTGCGCAAAGTTGCTTCCACATCTTCAAATCTTAGTGGCTTCAAACAAAAGAATCTTAATGGAGTAAACTCTTACAGTCTTAGTGGCTTAACGTGTTAGCATCTTAATGGCTTAAAGTCTAAACATCTTAATGGCTTAAAATCTTTAAATCTTAAGGGCTTCAATTCTTAGAATCGTAGTGGCTTAAAATCTTAAAATACCAAGGCCGAACACCTGAATTACACTCTGAACATCTGAATGGCTTACACTCTTAATATATTATTGGCTTAAGGTGCTAGCATGTTAATGGCTTAAAGTCTTAACATAGAAATGACTTACAATTTGTACAATATTGAAATATGAGTGGCTTCAAACCTTAGAATCTTAATAGAGCAATGTCTTAAGATCTTAGTGGCTTAACGTGTCAACATCTTAATAGCTCAAAGTCTGAGCATCTTAATGGCTTAGAATCCAAAACCCGCAATGGCTGAATATCTTAAAGCTTAGTGGTTTAACGTGTTAAAGTCTTAGTGGCTGAAGATCTCAACGTATGAATTGCTGAAAACATGAACACCCAAATGGATCCAACTCAGAACAGCATGAACTGTCTGCAGTCTTAATATATGTGTGGCTGAACATGTTGACATCTTAATGCTTAACATCCTAAAATATTAATGGCTTCAAACAAAATAATCTAAATGGAGAAAACTCTTACAGTCTTAGTGGCCTAACATGTTAGCATCTTAATGGCTTATAGTCCAAACGTCTTAATGGCTTAAAATCTTTAACTCTTAAGGGCTTCAAATTGGCTTAACATCTTAACATACTGCTGGCGGAACACCTGAAACTCCTCTTGGATTACAGTCTGAAAAGTTGACTGGCTTGCAATCTTAGAATATTAGTGGCTTAAGACGTTAGCATCTTAGTGGCTTGAAGTCTTAACGTAGAAATGGCTTACAATATTGAAATCTTAAATGGCACAAACGTTAGAATCTTAATCGAGCAACATCATAAAATCTTAGTGGCTTAACGTGTTAAAATCTTATTGGCTTAAAGTCTTAACATCTCAATGGCCTACAATTTTGACTACGCACATTATATTTTTGATGGCTTAACATCTTGACATCTTAATGGCTTTAAATCAAAAGGTCTTATTGGATTGACATCTAAACATCGTAATCGCTGAACATCTTAGATGCCACAAGACGCGAAACGAGACCCTTCAATCTGTGCTCCTCAAAGGGACAATTCCAAAGGCACAATTCCAAAGGCACATTCCAATAGGACAATTCCAATGGGATAATTCCAATGGAATAAATCGAATGGGATAATTCCAGCGGGAAAAATCTAATGGGAGAATTTGAATGAGAGAATGCCCATGGGAGAAATGGGACAATTCCAAACAGAACGTTGCAATGGGAGAATTCCCAAGGGAGAATCTGAAAGGGACAAATCCAAAGGGACACTTCCAAGGGGAAGAGTCAACAGGGACAATTTCCGTTGGACAATTTCAATGGGACAACTCCAAAGGGAAAATTCCAAACGGAAGCTTTCAATTGGAGAATTCCAATGGGAGAATTCCGATGGGAAAATTGCAAAGGGAAATTATCAAAGGGACAATTCCAAAGGGACACTTTCAATGGGACAATTGCAAAAGGGCAAAGGGAGACTTCCTAAATGGGACAATACCCAAACAAAAACTTCCAACGGGACAATTTCAAAGGGACGCATATAAGTCCCAATTCATTGTTATTGTTTTTGCGTTCATGTGCAAAATCAGTAGTAGCCAAAGAGCCCACGGTTGCTGGGTTCAGTTTTTGGGTCATGTTTCTTTTTTGAAAGCAAATGGGCAGCCTCCAAACCATCAAATCAAAGCACATATTGAACACTTAAGGCTGACTTTCCGGTTATTTTGAGGGGTATGCTTGGCAAATGGCGTGTTTTCCCCGTGTAAAGACAGATAGATACCTTTCTGTTTGAGGGGGGTCAAGGGAAACGGCTCGGTTTCTCGGGTTCGCCGCGCCGATTTTTTGGATTTGTCTACTTCCGTTTGCTGAGGGAGTCGATTTCACGGGGCATATTTTTCCGGGCGGACACACAGAATTGGAAGATGGGGTTTTGAGAACTGCAGTTTTGTTTTGACTTGTGTGGTTTTGGGGGTAAACCCTTAGGGTTGCCCATATCTCCCCTTAAAGGGTGGGTGGTCTTAAACATTCCTCATGAAAGGGTGGTTTTAAACATTCTTCTTAAAGTAGGCTTGTTGTTTTGTGAGGTGTTGATCCTGAAAAGAATCTAAGAAGGTTCCCTTGGAAAGAATGAAAATGGAAGCTTCCCCCAGAAGTCCACCAATTAACATGGAAGCTGACGTTCGGGAAATGGTCCCTTTAAAAAGGAGAATGGTCCCTGAACCAGCACCCCAAAACGTCGGGTTCCATGTGAATTAGTGGGAGGGTGGCTGTTTATTCCCAAAGAGCTCGCAAAGTCAGCACTTTTTTTGGGCCCCGGTCTCAGTTCCTTGCTCTGTTGCCCAGTGCCCATTTTTCTTTTTTGGGGTACAGGTTCCCCTTTAAACTCAACAAAAATGGCTGGGCATCTGAGCTTGGATCTGCGTGTTTTGGGTTAGGTGGCTTCCCCACCTGGGCCATCGGCGTCATCGTGGTGCTGATCTTGCTGCTGGTGGCCGCGGTGGTTGCTTGGACCTGCGGCACCTGCAAGCGGAATCAGGACCCCCGGCTCCTGGCCTGAGGCGCGGTGTCCCGCGCGCGTGGGCCATCGGACACATTTTTGGCCGGTTTCGGCCCCAAGCCTCCCCTCTCTCGGAAAAAACAACAACAACCAAAACAAAACACAAAAACGCACAACCACAGGTCTGGGTGAATTATAACGAACAAAACACTACCGAATTCACCCCAAATGGTGGTTTACCCCAACCATCGCAAGTTTCAGGTTGGTGAAATATTTTAATTCACCCAGATAGGTGTCCTTTTTGTTTGATTGGATTCCTGGTTTACCGGTTCGGGTTGGTGGCATCCCCAGCATCCCCAGCAGCACTGGCCTCGCTCGGATTAGGTGGCAGTTCAGAGTTGCTCCGGGCTGGTTTCGGGGGATTGTTGGGCTTGCTGAGGTCTTTTTTCTGAGGGCGGGTCTTGGGTTTGTTTGGGGTTCATTTAGGCTTTGTAAATGGCTGGATATCAGGATGCTGTTGGGAGGGTTTAAGGTTGACTTTGAGTCGGTTTGGGTTGGCTTGGAGCTGATTTGCGCGAGGTGTGCGGCCAGGTTTTTGCACTTGCTTTTGGGCTGCTTGCAACGCCTTTACAAAGCCCTTTACAACGCCTGGATATCAGCCCTTTACAAAGCCTAAATGGCAAACCTAAGACCCGCCCTCATTATATCAGCAAGCCCAACAATGCCCCGAAACCTGCCGGAGCAATTCTGAACTGCCACCAAATCGACGCCAATTCACAGCCCTAGTCCGAGCGAGGCCGGTGATGCTGGGGATGCTGGGGATGCTGGGGATGCGGCCGCCCAGCTGACCAACCAACCAAGCCCATTTCCCTGGTAGTTGATTAACCCCCAAGGCCAACTAGGCCCCAGAGAATACCGCCTTCGAAGCAAGGGTTCCCAGCCAACCTCTTCAGAGCCACATGGGAGAGGCCTTGTGCTGAGCCGGGCTATTAAAAAGCCGGGGCTAGTAACAAAGAACAACACCTCAACCCTCTCCGGTTTCGAGCCATTTCTTCGATTTGCCTTTGCCGCTGTTCCAAACCATCCCCCTCCCTCCCTCCCTGTCTCTGTTTCTGTCTCTGTCTCTGTCTCTGTCTCTGTCTCTGTCTCTGTCTCTGTCTCTGTCTCTGTCTCTGTCTCTGTCTCTGTCTCTGTCTCTGTCTCTGTCTCTGTCTCTGTCTCTGTCTCTCTGTCTCTGTCTCTGTCTCTGTCTCTGTCTCTGTCTCTGTCTCTGTCTCTGTCTCTGTCTCTGTCTCTGTCTCTGTCTCTGTCTCTGTCTCTGTCTCTGTCTCTGTCTCTGTCTCTGTCTCTGTCTCTGTCTCTGTCTCTGTCTCTGTCTCTCTCTCTCTCTGTCTCTGTCTCTGTCTCTGTCTCTGTCTCTGTCTCTGTCTCTGTCTCTCTCTCTCTCTCTCTCTCTCTCTCTCTCTTTTCACTCTTTCTCTGTCTCCGGTTTCCTTGGGACGCCGTGAATATTCATGTGCGTGCCACTCTGCCGAAAAAGGGGCGTAGGAAATGACGAAGGAGATCCCTTTGAGGTGATAGGTGTATTTTTGATCGGTCAGCTTGGTCAGAAATAGATGGGTTTGACAGGTTCAGATCGGCTTTGCGCTCCAGGGACACCCATCTATTCATCGTTGTTGGGAAACCTTTTGCCCATTTTTGCTTATTGTGGTTTAGTGGTGGAAATCCAAATCCACTTAACTGCTATTTTTTTTAATTTTTGGCTTCCCTTCGAAGGTCAACCCTCTATTTTACCCAGGTGCTCTTCTACCCAGGGCTCGACTCCGAAAGTCAACCACCTGGGATTTTTGTTTTCCGGAGGCCCTGCGGCCACGGCGGCGGACGGCGGACGGGTGCGTCGATGAGAAATGCATCGGAACAAGAAGCCTGACTTTTTGTTTTTTCCCCAAAGGAAAGCTGAGTTCACAGAAAAGCCAACCAGGTTTTGAATGTCCAGCAGCTTTTTTTTTTTTTTTTAATACAGGTGTTTGTTGGGGCAAATGTTTGAACCTCTGGCTATGATGCGAGCCTGTTTAAGGGACAGGTTCAAGCATGTCCAACAGAGAGGCTTTACAGCGACGCCTGTCAGCGCGAATTCCCCTAGGTTCTTCGCAGTTGGCAGGCAGGATTTGAACAGTATCCGCCGTCCAGCTACGTGCTTCTTTTTTGAAACAGGATGCCAACGTCCACTTCTCATCTCTTTTGCCAGAGAAAACGAGCAACACTTTTCAGAGGCAGCACAACATCTGACGGCGGTCAGCAAATTTCAGTCCAGGCAGGGCGGTAGTTGACTGCCTGTTGCCCGGCGATCATTTTGCAGGAACAGCTGTAGAAAAGGGGGCCTGGCCGAGTGAAACGAGTCCTCACGCCACCATAGGAGTAGCTCACGTGGTCGCTTTCTGGGTTTAGAAGTTTGGGCCCATCCACAAAAGTTCGGAAGTGAGCGTGAACGCGCACATTTCGTATGGTTGATTTGGCTTGAGGGTGCCCTTGTACGTCCGTTGCACAGTTTGAAAGCAGCAGAAGATGGACGTCCCGCCAACATATTGGCTGTTGCTGACAAGCGCCGCGTTCTGTGCAGCGTTTAGCTTGGACCATAAGATGCTCAACAAAGGTCAGGACATTGCTGGAGTGCCACACATTCTCTCAATCATCCTTCGAGTCTCCGTAGCCGGTGCCGGTGCTGACAATCATGACCGATGTGCGGCTGGAACGGCAGCTCCGGTATTATTTCAGCGACAAGAACCTCTGGAAAGATGAATGGCTGATGAATCAATTGGGAGATGATGGAACTGGCTTCATTCCCGCAGACATCATTGCCGGCTTCAATCGAGTTCAGCAGATTCTTGTCTGCTCTAGCAAAATATCTCGCTTTGTCCTTTACATGCTCCAAGAGCTGAATTGCAAAGCAAGGGCCATGACGTGGTTTTGATAGACTTTGAAGCAGCTACTGGGCGTTTCTCTGACCTCCAGGTGATTGGTTGCCTTGTGTGTGTGTGTTTAAGTCATCCAAGAAAGGGTTTCCAGGCCCACTTGCCATTTATTGCCATTTGACTATGATGTTTGGTTGGGGTTAGGGAATCCCCTCACAAGTGGTCGGCGGATCTCAATCCCGATGTGCTTCCGATCTCAAACCAAAGGGTCCATTTCCACCTTGCTTGGGTTCGAATCACTGGTTCATTGGGCAAGGAGGGGCATTGTTCTCTCACCAAATGGCTGAAAGATCCCCACACATACTTGTGTGAGGATCTAAGATGCTTTCCAAAAGAACAAGAAAAAGAAAACACAACAACAAAAACAAACAACTAGCTACTAGCCACAAAACACGGGATACACCCCTTTCGTTCACCCGTGAGGTGAGCGCGGTTTGGGGGTAGTGAAAGTTTCTCATCGAGAGGATCACTTCCGACGTGGACTTGATCGTCCAGAGCCTGAAGCACATTAGCGATCTGGAGGTCAAGGAGGAGAACGGCAAGGCGGAAGCTTTTTGCGGCGAGGGATTCCGCCGATTCAGGGGGCGTTCACCTAGCAAAATATGCGGAGTCTCTTTTTTTTTGCTCACAATGATGAAGTTGTTGGAATCTTGTTGGAGTACCCTCTCTCCCACTAACATGGCACCTCAGAAATGGTCCCCCAAAGAGGAAATTGCTCTTCCAGGTGGTAAGGGGTCCTTAGGGATTCTGAGTTTAGGTTGCTTCGCCTTGAGAGAAAGCTCGGTGAAGACCCCTACATGGAACCAATTCGTGCGTCTTTGCAAATGCGACCACCTGAGTTGATTCGCAGAGGATCCCTTTGGTCCAGTCTTGGCCTCTCGTGCTTCAACCTGGGCTCGCCATCCTCCAAGAATTTTTTCGGCGAGACTTTCAGGGCGAAGCCGAAGGCCATCCGGTTCAACTTGGCCTTGTGTTTAGTGGTAGTTTCCATGCCCACCGAAAGTTAAAACTTCGAGCGGGGGATCTGAGGGCAGCCCAGTTTGGTTTCCCTTCAAACGAATCTTCTCAATTGGTGACGTCTTCCATGTTGGGTGGGAGCGCATGGAATTTATTGGATCCTCCAGCGCGTTCCCATGGAGCGATTCTCTGATCTTGCATTCGCACGGTTTTGCAATCCCGGAAGACCCTTTGGTCTATTTCCATGTAATCTACCCAATCCTTTGGTCGATTCCAGGTGCTGTTCCTTTGAACTCCCTTACGAAGGAAAACCCCTGTTGAAGTTTTTGTGGCAACCACAGAATGGACTGCTTTGATCCATTGGACAATTTTTGGACGCTGAGATCGCTTGACCCTTTGGTCAATCTATGTCACGGTCAAAAGACCGCTTCCTTTACTCTGGGGTTGGTGGGGATGGTCACGATGAGGCCGGGGGAAATTTGTACCGACTTGGATTGCACTGGCGCAATGACTGATGGGTGCAAGTGCCAACCTGACACGGATTCAGGCACTGGTGGAGGACGCACACCAGCAAAGGCCGAATCGCACAGCGTGCTGGTGCAATGGCGTCCCCAATTTCAATCATGACAACGCCAGGGGCCAGCAGCGCGCATAAAATGAAGAAGCAGCAGCAGCAGCAGAAGAAGAAGAAGAAGAAGAAGAAGAAAAAGAAGAAGAAGAAGAAGAAGAAGAAGAAGAAGAAGAAGAAGAAGAAGAAGAAGAAAAAGAATAAGAAGAAGAAGAAGTACCGACTTTTAGATGTCTGGGTTTGCGTGTTTGTTCTCCTTCTTTTGTTTTTGAGGGGTCCGCTTCAGGTGCAGGTGCGGCGCGTGGAGCCGCTGCCCCCTCGCCCTGTGAAGCCGGACAGCGAGCTGGGGTCAGTGGAGGCCCCGTTGGAGGAGGAGCTGCAGGCGGGGTCTTGGAAACGCTGCCGGCGATTTCCACAGAAACAAAACCAAAACTCAATCCCAAGAAGGGTGACCCCAAATTTCCCCCCCCCCCCCCAAATTTTTGCCCCCCCCCCCCCCAATTTTTTCTTCCCCCCAAGAAGGGTGACTCCAAATCCCAAAAAAAGCCGGAGAAGAAGGATGAAATGAGCACAGCTCAATCCATACCCCTTTAGTCACTGATCTCCAACCACAACTCAATCCCAAAAAGGGTGACCCCAAAGGTGCTTCCCCCCCCTTTCCCTTGCCCCTCCCAGGCGGCTTCCACCGGCGTTTTTCCAAAGAGAAAAAGAAAAACCAGCCGTGAAAGGGACGTCAACGTGTGGGGGTCTCTCTTGGTTGGGGGTCTCTCTTGTTTTTTTGGGGTCCCCCGAAACACCTTGGTGGTTTGGCTTTAGCTTTCCCTTAACTTGGTGGCGAAGCCAGCCATCCGGTTCAACTTAGCTTTTTAGATCCTTTTAGTGTTTAGTGGTAGTTTCTCCATTTCACCCACTAAAAGTTAGTCACTTTTCGCGAGGGATCCGGAAAATCTGAGCCCAGACAACTCAATCCCAAAAAGGGTGAACTCGGCACCCTCCCCAAATGAAGACAAAACCAACGTGGGAGATTGAACTTGGAAATTGGCACCCTCCCCCTCTTTTCGGCATTTGGAATGTAATTTGGAATTTGACCCAATGAAATGGTTTCTTCTGCCCCCCCCCCCCCACCCACCCCTCCCCCCACCCCCCCCCCCACGCCCTCCCCCCCCTTTTTCGTGCCCCCCGGGCGCCGGGGCTTTCGCCTCTAGGTGGCCTCCACGGCGGTGCCGGACGAGCCCTGCCACGAGATGGGCCAGCTGCTGCCGGGCTTCCGGGAGGCCGTGGCTTCGGTTTGGGTTTCCCCGCGAACGGAACGGGGAGATTGGGGTTGGTGGGTGGTGAAGGGGCGGAAACCCCGGTCAAAAGCCCGTACCCCCAGTGAACATCCTAATCCCCAGTTGTCAAAAGTAACGTTGACCCCCGATTCATCAACCCCAGTTTAGAAAAATAGGGGGTGGGGGCCCGGGGGCCGCTCCAAAAGTGAACAATCCCCACATATTAATAAACAGGGGTTTATTAATAGGGGGTGTTCATGAAGGTGTGGTTCCCATTGAATCCGTCCGGTGGACGAGAATTACCAAGGCAAACTTGCCATTTATTGGGTAAGTGGAAGCCAAATTCCAAGCCACCCCTCCCAACCAACAGAGGGAAGCTGAGAGACCGAGAGATGTTGGTTTCCAGAAATCCTTGATTGGGGGTACCTTTTTCAGGTTGGTTCAAAGGGAAACGCAACAAAAGAAGCAACACCAGTTTGGGGGTATCCATCATTTTGACGCATACCCCGTGGGGCAGCGGTTTGGATTTGAGGTTCTTTTTGGTAAACGGGAAACCACCCAACCTCACCTCCAAACCAAGCCACCAGGGAAGTTGATTGCTTGCCATGGCGCTGGTACCCCACACGAGTTCACCGATTTCGGCCGGAAAAGGGAGACCCGTTTTCTGGTTGCTGACCTTTTGTTGTTCGCGCCGAATGCTCCTGGGATCTCATTCACTTGAACTCTTAAATTTTAAGGTTCACTCAACATGGACCAGAATCGGGCAGATGAACGTGGTCCACTGACTTATCGGTGTGGTATTGATTTAGAACCGGTTTAGCATTGGTTCAATTCCTTTCCTTTTGTATTTCCTCCATTTTTTCCGATTATCATTATTTGAGTATCAGGGCTTCGGCTGTACTCCCGCAATGGTCTCTTTGCAAGAGTTTACAGTTTGGGGGAGCAGCCTTACTCTGTTTCCTGGACTGATATGACTATTCCTTCTTACTTGTCCTTTTTTGGTTTATTCTGGGAGATCCAGTTTTTGTTTCTTGAAAAATACGTTCTTGTATTGAGAGTACATTTCTTTTCTTTGGGGGAGGGGGAGATTGAACAGTTTTGGGAAAGATTTCTTGTATTTGGCCCCTTTTGATTAGTGGGTACCCCACTTTCTTTTTGGTTGGGGGTGCCTCAAAAGCTGAGGTGAGTTAGCTACATGGTAAGCTTGTGATCACCAAAATGTCACCTTTCCATCGTTTCACACGGAGCCCATTTGCAGGTACCACGTGGACAGGAGAAACCGAAGTACCACTCAGAGAAACCGAAGTACCACTTGAGGTTTGAGTGCTTACATGAGGAAACTGTGAAAGCCACCTCTGTTTCACCCGCTTCGCTCCTTTGCCTGCTAGGTTTATCGTGGTCCGAGCCCCCTGTGACCTATGGCGAACGCCTAGCACCGTGATTTTTTTTTCTTTCCAAGAACAACACACAACCAATATGGGTGTGCCTTTTGAGGGAACCCGTTTAACTGTTTATTTTTGGGGGGCAACGGATGGACGCCACCCCCCCCTCTTCCCCTCCCGCGGTCGCTCCCGTTCAGCGCCACGGCAGGTGCCTAAGACCGGGGTGATCTTCGTCATGGACGAAGCCTCCAAGGTGCGGAGCCCTTGGAGCCCCCGGAAGCCGCTTTCACCAATGGGGGCTGATTCCTGTTCCATTCTTTTCAACCATGGTTCTTTCCCAGAACCGGATCCGTTTTCTCTGGGTTTCTGGAGGCCCTGGAAAGAAGGGGGAAGGTGCCGATAGAAATCCAGCCGTGCCTACAAACAAAAACACCTCAAAATACACAATAACGCCTAATATATACATTTTTCCTTCTCCTCTGAGAAAGAAAGGAACAACGGACGGTCGGACGGTGGTGGATTTTGGGGGGCTCGAAATGAAGTCTTTCTTCTTTTTTGTTTGGGGGGTGGCTTTGTGAGGGATTTCCTATGGGGGGGGGTTTCGCTTACCACCATTTAGCTCGGGTCAAAATGGTCGGTTTTCCCTCTGGTTCCCTCTCCACCCCGAAACCCCTGCCCCTGCAAACCAACCCCAGTGCCAAAACACCGCCCCCCGGCCCCAAAAGACCGACCCGCCAAGAACCGACCCCCAACCCCCAACTCCTCCGCTCTCAGCGCTTCGAGGCGGGCTACTCCGGAGCCTCCGCCGCGGAGTGGGCGAACCTGGGCCAAGGCAGCCCGGAGACCACCAAGGCGCCGCGGAAAACGGGCGATCGATCGCCCGGAAAACGGGCCAAGTCCCATGGGGACATGATCCCTCGAATGAGGCGCACGAATTCTTCTTCTTTTTTTTGAGGGACACCGGGCCATTTTTTTTCGTGGGGACATTATCCCCAGGGGGGGCGCGAGGGTGTTGCCGGCTGTTTGTTTTTGGTTTGCTTCTTAATCCAGAGCTTGCTGGTGCGATGGGCAACAAAAATGAGACATGGACTGACCCCTAGAACAAAACCATCTGACGTATGGCTTCCTTTAAGGGAATCCCTAGGTTCGTTCCCAAGAGCTGGAAGGTCATTCCCTACTGAGCACCAGCAAGATAATTTCCGTTGAGGAAGTTTTTTACTGCAAACAAGTAAATGGATTTTCACAAAAAGACGAGCACGCATATGGATCCAATGGAAGTTCCAGGTGAATTTGCAGAGTACCCTTCATTGGTGGTGCTTGGAATTTGGATTTGGATTTGAACACATCCTTCTGACAATGCGGACGGTGTTCCCTGACGTCGGGCTCCGAGCCACGAACTTGTAAGCTGAGCTGTGTGGGGGGAGAGGCCCCGTTTTTCAGGGACCTTTTCAAGAAAGTTTTTTTTCTTCCTTTTTTGAGAGACATTGGTGTTGGTGTTTTTTTTGAGGCACACCCACACCCACCGGGCTCAAATGAAGATGGTGCCCGCGAAAAAGCAAGCACATTTGGCCGACACCGGCCAGCCTCAAGAACTGCCCCTGCTTGGGTTTTTAGGGCGAATTCGGGGGCAAAGTCTGGGTAGGACAAGACACCGGTAGAGACCAGGGCTCATTTTTCAGGTCGTAGTTGTGTGTGTGTGTGTGTGTGTGTGTTTTTTGAGGATCCACGTTACAAGAGCGTTGGTGGACATGAATCCCCACCAGAAAAAGGGGTGTCCACCAGGCGGCTCTTAAGTTTCTCACCCCTAAAGGGTTTCTCAAAATGGGAATTTGTCGCTGTGATTCGGGTTCTCCTTCTTTTCTGGTGTCAAGGAAACCAAAAGGAACACCGAAGGCCAAAACTAAATGCACCACACCCCAAAATGGGTGGTTTCCCCTGATTTTCCTGGAAAGAAGTCCAACCTTCCCAGGAAAAAAACACCACAACCATTGGTGGTTTCACTTTGTCACCTGGTCTTGAAGCCGCGCTTCGGCTCAGATCGGCGCCGAAGGGTACAGGTGCCGAAGGGTGGTTCGAAGTTCGAAGGGTTCGGAGGCGAAGCACTGGCCCACGAACATTCGGAAGAGGCTCACGGAGTTGGCGGCTGGGCCAAACATGGGTGGGGGGGAGGGGGGGTGGGGTGGTGAACATGGGTTTGCGCCTTTCTTGTTTTTGTGTGGGGGGGGGGGGGTGTCCGCCTCCTTTTTTGGGTCTGTTTCAAGAAACCAAAGGACACCACCACAATGTTGGGTTTCCTTTTGGTTTTCCTTTTCAATCAGGGGGTCGTTTTGGGGGGAAACCAGAACGGGATGAGCCTTCTCAGAGGAAGCACCATTCAGCTTCCCTCTTGGTTCAGAGGTGGTTCAAAATTCACGATCTACAAGAGTCAAACATTTTTTCTAGACGCGCCGTTGTGCTTTCCCCCAAAAGAGGGGGGAGGGGGCCCTGGTACTGCCCACGCGCGCGCGCGCGCGCGCCGTGTTCCGCGCTTGACCCGAGCCGAGGTGGAGAAGGGGAAGCTCACCTCCGAGCTGGGCCCCTTCCACCTGAAGACCTTCGAGGTCAATGAGGCGAGAACTTATTTCGACTGTGCGGGGGGAATTTTCGTACCCATGCGGAGCGCTCAAAGAAGTTTTTTTTTTTTTTTTTTTTTTTTTTGTTATATATATATTAACAATAATAATAATAATAATAATAATAATAATAATAATAATAATAATAATAATAATAATAATAATAATAATAATAATAATAATAATAATAATAATAATAATAGTAATAGTAATAATAATGATAATGATAATAATAATAATAGTAATAATAATAATAGTAATAATAATAATAATAATAATAATAATAATAATAATAATAATAATAATAATAATAATAATAATAATAATACTAATAGTAATAATAGTAATAGTAGTAATAGTAATAATAATAATAGTAATAATGCTACTAATAATAATGCTACTAATAATAATAATACTACTACTAATAATAATACTAATACTAATACTAATACTAATTCTCATTCTCATACTCATAATAATAATGATAATGATAATGATAATGATAATGATACTGATAATGATAATGATTTTAATGATAGTGATACAAACATATAAGATAATAATAATAATAATAATAATAATAATAATAGTAATAATAATAATAATAATAATACTAATAATAATACTAACAATAATAATAATGAAAATAATAATACTAATAATAATAATACTAACAATAGTAATACTACAAATACTAATACTAATACTAATACTAATGCTAATTCTCATACTCATAATAATAATGATAATGATAATGATAATGACAATGATAATGATACTGAAAATGATAATGATAATGATAAAAAAAGTAAAATCATAATCATAATAATAATAATAATAATAATAATAATAATAATAATAATAATAATAATAATAGTAATAATAATAATGATAATAATGATAATGATAATGATAATGATAATGATAATACTACTACTAAGAATAATAATAATTATGATAATAATAATAATAATTATAATAATAATAATAATAATGATAATGATAATGATAATCATAAGAATAATAAAATTCAATCCTTAACTCCTTGGTGGTTTTAAACCCATGAAAGGTGAGTATCCCTAGGTCCTAGGTCCCCTAGCTCGCCCCTGGTCACCTTCTTTTTTGGTTGGCAGGGTACCCCTACGGAAAGAAGGTGGCACCCTTATTCTAAGCTCTCTGCTGGAGGACCCAGTCCGAATGCGACGTGGAAAACTGGGATGTTCCCAGTGGGTTCTCCATGGGCAAGGAAGAGATAGGTGCCCTTTTTAGGTCAGTTTGGTGTTGAACATGAGTACCACTGGCTTCGGTTGGGCGCTGAGAGCAAAATGGAAGGATCCGCAAAACGGGGAGCTTGTGTTTCCCTGCGGGGCCCAGGGTATGCATTTCTGGGTGGCGAAGCCAGCCATCCGGTTCCTTAGCTTTTTAGATCCTTTTCGTGTTTAGTGGTAGTTGCCATTTAACCCACTAAAAGTGAGTCATTTTTAGCGGGGGATCTGAAAACGGGCAGCCCAGATTTGGAGGTTGATCCAAAGGTCCTTTCTCCTCGTTTGGAAGAAAACTGCGCTGTTCGCCCAGGAGAACCTGCACTATGGCAGCCCCAACGGCGATTGGGCACTGCGGCGGGCAGTGGCCAAGTTCTACAACGAGATCTATCGCAAGGCTCGGCTGATGTGGAGTTTCGGGACCCTGAAAAGTGGCAAAGGGGTTTCTTTGAGGGCAATCTTGCTGGTGCTCAGCAGGGAATGAGGAATGTCATGTACAAACCATGTTTCCTTGAAGGGGAATGCTGGGTTCATTCCCACATTCCCTACTGAGCACCAGCACGTTTGACTTGGAGGTCTCCCTTTTGCGACACACCCAACCTGCCTCAAAATCGGGGCCTTGCTTCCCTACCACTTTGCAGGTGGTTGATCCAAGATCCCATGCTTTCACAGCTTTCAGGGTTGGGGCAAATGCGGAGAACAAGCCAACACAAGCGGCCGGTGTGCCGTTGGTTTCCATCTACAGCCCTGAAGGAGCATCTCACGCTTCCAGCCCACAATGGATAAGCATTGATATCCTCACAGCCCTCGAAACGGAACCGATGTGCATGCGCACACACACACACAAGTGTCCCCATAGAAGTCTTGCCCAAGATGGGAGATTCCGTTTTTGGATGGACGTAGATGGGGGGTTCAACCATGACAAACCAACGACCTTGGGCCCGTACTCCAAGGAAGAACAGCCCCAAGTCTCGTTTCTACCCCTAAAGAAGGCGTCCTATGCACCTTCATGGAAATGTCATCAGCAAGGAGAACAACATGGAGCATATGACTCGACAGAGTTTTAGATTGTAAAACACATGACACATTTCTGTATTGGACAGCTTTGAGCTGACACATCTCTAAATTGATACCACATTGATGCACTTCCACATATTTATTCCACCATTTTGCAGAGTCCAAATTGTCGGAGTTCTTTGTTTTCCCTCGAAGAGAGACACAGCAAGCCAGAGTTCGTTGCCAACCTGTTTGCCTGTTCTCCTTCAACCTCCCGGTAGAAACGATGGCGGGTCAAAGATGCTTACTCAACGCGGAGACAAAGGATCCGGTTAGGTTGCCCCATGGAAGCCGAGGACCCGAGATTTGGTTTTGGTTTCCCTTGAAGGCAACCAAGAAAAAGGGGTGCCCTCCAAAAAGAATGGTACCTTAGATAGATCGATCGATCGATAGATATGGGCGTGGCTCAAAATTAAGCAGGAGGGGTTACGCAGGTTTTGGTCCATGTTTCCACTTCCCAGGGTTCCATTTTGGTACCGGCTTTTTGAGCCACAGCCACATGATTGGAGAGAGCGTCGGCCGCAGGGCAAGACTTCGCTGTACACCGCGGAGAATGTGGCGATTGTGGGCGGCGGACGGCTGGCGCTCACTCGGCTGTGCTGTGCCTCGGCCAAGCGTTTTGGCGCCCTCCTCTGATATATGTATATATATATATGTCTATATAGACGTATTACAAATACCTATTTGTATATATGTATATATATATATATATATGACACACATAGATAAACATATACATAAACATATTATATTATATATATATATATATATATCATCAAATGGTCCTTGACATGGGATGACCACTTGGACAACCTTCAAAGAGATGACTTCCCCCAAGATGGGAAAATACCCCATGGTCATTTGAGGGCAAGGAAAATGATCAACCCAAACATATACATATACACATATATATATATATATATATATAAACATATATATATACACATACATGTAGATATATAGCATTTTTGTTCCTGGAATTCTGTCGAACTCGTGTTATATTTCAAGGCTCAGAACTGAAGTATGGACCCAAACCAAGAGTCATAGTGCTTGGTTGGGGGGGGGGGAGCTGAGGAGTTTTAGGGGTTTTCTTGTAATCAGGCAGCCACAGAAGGCTTCTTCCCGAATTCCACCCCCTCTCCAAAGCAAAGAAAAAGCAGCGCCGCGGGTGCCCATCGGCTCTCACCAGGTCAACCCGCTGAACATGTGAGCCACTTGCTCAAAACCGATTTGGGGATTGACGAAGGTCAAGGGCCAATCCCCTTGCCAGAAATAGCTGCGGATCTCCGCCTTCTTAATTCTTGAAGCATGGTTCTGGGTTCACCATTTTAATACCGGGGTTTGATTGTGGCTCATGTGAGCGGACAAAGTTTCTGGTAGCCATGCTTCCGGAAAAAAAAAAACAAAAAAAACATGGGAAGCGCATCCCATTTTCCCACGAAATCCGGTGTGTGTATTGGGGGGACCAGATTTCTTCATGTCCTGTTAGGAAAACAAGCAATTTTGGCCGGAACATGTGTGGCCACTGGGACGGAGGGTTTGGCTGTGACTTGGCCCAAGAAGGGTACTACAAGAGAGGATGGGCGTATCTGTTTTTGAGGCTCGGTACCCTTTTAAAGATTGGTTTTGAAGGAAGAACAAGAACAGACACACACACACACACAACATAGGGGTGGCCCCTATTTTGTGACGCAGATCCAGATGAATCTTGCGCGCTAGAAGTGCCAATCTTCAGGAGAGCAGCTTCTCACTTTCGGCTGCAAGATGATGGTTGTGTGCTGCTGACCAGAGGAGGGTGTTCGGGGTGACGTACTGAGTGCCAGAGGCTTTTCCTCAATAACAAAGTTCGGTTCGCAGGTGGTAGGTGGCGGTTGATCCAACTACTTTTCATAGGGTTTCATACCGCTGGGCCGCTAACCCACGGCAGCCCGGCAGGTGCTATGGACAACGTCAACCTGGGACATTTCCTTCCGGACTGGAGGGGGCGGGCGCAGCATTTCCTGACATTTTGCCGGGCAGCGAGCAAAGCCCAACGCTTTTTCAAAAGGATTTGATGCCCAGGTGCCCAGTGGCACCAACCTTTTCAACTTTTTTTGGGAAGTGTTCCCCTTTAAACTCCATCGACCAGAAAAGGATGCCCTCTTCTTTTCCCATGGCCACCGGGTATCTGAGCATGTTCCATGCCCAAAAAGAAGGTGAGATCTTGGATTTCCCGCGGCGTGGCGTTTGCTTTTGATCTGAGGCCCAAAGATCGAAGTGTTGATCAGGCGGGAAGCAATTTTTTGGACCCCCGGGCTTTCCTTTGCCTGCCCGCTGTGGCCGATTTCCCCCGCCGCGCTTCGTGCCCCTTTTGGCCGCCCCGTTTCCCCGATGTTCGAGTCCTACTATGGATGGACGAAATCCTGCACCTGAGACACCCTGGAATGATGCTTCCCCTGCAAAAAAAACAAAAAAAACAACGAACCATGATTTTTCCCATGGGGTGCCGCCACCTAAGAAACAAACCCTGGAAATGATGACATACCAACGAACGTTATGATATGATTTTCCCCATGGCTTTCCAAGCGGCGCGAGCGGAGGGCGGCCGCCATCCCGCAGGACTACACGGCCTATGCGGAGCTGCTGAGCCAGCCGCGGGCCTCGGCTCCGCTTCGGGAGGCTCCAATTTCTCCGGAAGCTGAGAGGGCGGGTCAAAGGGAAGGAAGCGGAGTTGGTTTCCCCCCCAGCCATTGGCGCCCGACCTCTCCCCCACTTTCTTTTGTTTGGTTGGGAGGGTTTCGTTTCCCCCCACTTTCTTTTTTTGGTTGGGAGGGTTTCCCTAGTGAAATAGACTGCAGAGAAAAGTTGGCACCCTGATTCTAACCTCTCTGCTAGTGGACCTAGGAAGAGAACATTCCTTCTGGGGAGCCTTGGAAAGATGGGAAGGGAACCATGCCTCCTGTAGGAGTTAGACCTCGTTTGAGGTTTGCAATGTGGCACTGGCAACATTTCCCACATGAGGGGACTCCCGAATCTGTTTGCAAGGGGCCTTGGGTCAGTGTGATTTTTGACCAAGGTTTTTTGACCGGGCACTATGGACTTTGACCATGGGCACCATATCATAAGTTCGATGGTTTCGAAGACCGGTTCAAGCGGATCGCCGATTCTCTTCCAGCTGGAAGTTATGGGGTCTCTGCCCAGACGAGTCCCACTTTAAGCTGAATCCAATTTCCCAGAGCCCTTGACAGCACTTGTAGCATTTAGCAGTGATGGTTTGTGTTGCCCCATCGGCGAGCGTTGCATCTTGATTGATGTCTCGAATCTCCGTAAACTTCATACATTTGATGTAGAACTACAGCAGCTGTGTGTTACCAAGCACGATCCACGAGAGCATCTTCGTGTTAAGCAGTCAAGCATATGGGTTAGTCTCAACATAGGGGAATTCTCCACGCAGGTGGTTTCCTTTGGGTTCCCTTCTAACCAAAGCCACAAAGGGTACACATGTAGGACACACATCCACATATCCTTCAGGGTCGGACGGAGTCGGAGCTGAGCTTTTGCCGAGGTTCAAGACGATCAACTCCATTCCGATCCCCCTGGATCAACGGAACAACTTCCGGATCACCTTGCAGGAGCCTCGCATCGTCCCGTTTTCGATGCGGTGCAGCGCTGCCCCTCCCAAACAGGTGGGTGGTTGGAGAAACTTTAAGGGGTTGTTGCATTTGGGGTGTCTTGTTTTTGGTTCGGTACCCCAGTTTGGTGGTTGTAGGACAATTGCCATTTCGGGGAGGCACACTTGCTTGACTTTGGGGACCCTCAGAGGCACAGTCCGCGGTTTGGAAGACTTCCGTGCTTCTGTCGGAGTTAATGCAGCACAAGGAGCTTGTGAGCATCCGCATCCCAATAATCGGGGAAATGGGAAAATCGCACGCCCCACATTGACCAAAGTTTTATATATATATATATATATTTCATTACCATAGCCCAAGCGCCCATCTCGCGCCTTTCTCTTCGGGATTTTCAGCCGCGAGCCCCGAGGCCCTGGATTTCGGGCCACTCCCTCGCAACTCGGGATCTGAACAACGCCCTTCCAGGCTCTTGGGGCGTGGTCCGTTTTGTTTTTCCCGTGTTTTTTTCTCCCCCGTTTTTCTTTTTCTCTCTCCCTTTTTTCTTCTCTTTTTTTCTTCTTCTTTTTCCAGGGTACTCATTTTTTGGGGGTTGCGTTTGATTCGGAAAGCGATGGAACTCTCACTTTTTTGCGGTACCGGCTTCCCAACATTTACTGCAAACCCTGAATTTTCTTGGGTAGCAAAGCTAACAGACACAACACCACCAGATCGTGTTATTGGCGGGCCCTCGTTCAAGCCAGTTGCCCAGTGGCGCCAACTTCCTCAACTTTTTGTTTGGGAAGGGTTCCCCTTTCAACTCAACCAACCACACATGGATGCCCCTTGTTCCCATTCTGCAAGCACCGACATTTGCTCAGAGGCCGATCCTCTACTCTCGCGTGCCGTTTTGAGCTTCAAACCTTGGGCATGGACCCTTCTTCAGGTTCCCCTTGGTGCTTTGGATTTCGATTTAACGCCCTGGTTCTTTTTGAGGAAGTTCATGGGACTTTGCCCGATCCAAATCAGAGAAAAGCCAGCAGAAGTCTGGCGACTTTGGCATCTGGCAATTTTGCTGGGTCCCTCAAGGGGTCAATAACCAGACCCAGCCTTCGAGCCTTTCTTAATACTTGACAACAATCAAGCGCATTCAAGCATAATCTCAGTTTTCCAAAACTGACCTTGTAGCTTTTTAGCTTTCCCTTTGGACCACTTGAACGGCCCCAAAAGGTTGACCTTGTATTTCGTGGTCCTCTGGGGCAAGTGAGCAATTTTTCACCACTTCCCCGAAGCAAATCTTCCGCAAAAAACAAACAAGTCAGACGAATTCCACAAGAAAGACCGACAAATTCCCCCGCTTCCCTCTGAACCCCCCCTCTCCCCCCCGCAAAAAAAGAAGAAGAGAAACAGCACAATTTCCCCCCTCCCGCCCCCCCCCCCCCCCGCCTACCCAACCTTATCCTGAGCCCTGCCCCCCCGCGCCAAAAACAACACAGAAACGCACATTTTCAGGAGCTGCGGCGGGAGATCGTGGGCCGGGGTCTGTCGGTGCTGCTGGCCTCCAACCCCTGCAACCCTACCGGGCAGCTCGTGGAGGGCGAGGAGCGGCCCGGCCAGCGTTGAGCGCTCCGTTTTTCAGCTGAGGGGGAATAAAAATTGGGCGGTCTAACGTTGGTCCAGCTACCGGACCTTTTTTTGCCTCCCAAGTACTCGTTGTTTTTTCTTTATAAACCATCGCACTGGTGGTTTCCTTGATTCGGGATTCCCATTGTGGTTCGTTCCCACATTCCCTACTGAGCACCAGCAAGTTGGTCACCGGAAAAACGTCAAGCCCAACACTTGCTGCTGTGAGAGGCAGGGAATGAGTTTTGGAATGACACTATAGCAAAACCATCACCCATGATGTTCTTTAAGGGAATCCCATTCTGGTTCGTTCCCAACGCCCTGAAGGTCATTCCCTACTGAGCACCAGCAAGATAAAGGGCATCGAGTTTCAGAGGGAAAGCCTCTTGACTTCCATCCATGATATCCTCTTCGAGGCATGCTCCTGCGCTCTTTTTTGAGGCGAAGGGTACCCTTTGGACATCGGAGGGACACCGAATCCCATTGTGGGGGGCTGAGCGGCACATCCAAGCCTCAGAAGGGCGACGTTGCGGGAATTTGCCACTTGAAGATTGGAAAATATGGGGCCAGGCCACTTTCTGTGAAAACGCATGCGTGGCAACACAGTCGTATCCCAGAAAGGCCCTTTTTCACCATGACTGTGTTTGGGGTCCCTCAAAGCAGTTTCATTTCAAGCACACACTTAGAAGGTCTTTTGGAGGTGTTTACCCGAGCGATTCTTAGTGGCCATCTGGCCTGCATAAACCTGTATATCACTGGTAGAACCTGGGTGCGGGTCTCTTCCACACATTTAGAGGGTAATTTGGACCATACAAGCGAATCGCCTCCTTTCCAAAATGACCCCCCAAAAAGGGCAACTCAAAAACACCCGCCCACACATACTTTTGGTTGTGTGGGATGGGACTTCTCGACTTCTACCAGGGTTACATGGCCTTCTCATTTCCACCGGGGTGCCATATCTACCGGCACCAACGGTTCCCGGAGTCATTTCCGGGCCTTGCTCGTTCGCCGCAAAAGGGCCCCCCCCCTCGCGCGGGGGGAGAGGAGAGTTGGCAAATTGGGGCGTTCCTGTTTCCTAGAAGTCTAGACTCTCATCTCGAGGGACATGGGTGTGGCTCAAAATGAAAGAGCTAGGGGTACGCAGGTTTTAGTCTTTGGTTCCATGTACCAACGTGTTTGGGATCCAATTTTTGAGCCACAGCCACATGGCGATTGCTCCGTGAGGAGTCCTTCGATGGGTTAGTTTGGTTGGACATGGTCAGTTAGATTTGCCATGTTGCACTATGCACCTTCAGTGCGTGCTCAAATATCTACACGTTTGCTGCTAATTAGATCTGCGAGTCTTCGTCAGGGGGGCAAATTGAAGGGCAGGCTTCTTTCAGCAAATGCTTCTTGGGGACCCTGCGAAATGGTCGGTTTCATGTTGGTTTCGACACGCGCCCCCGTCTTCAAGTTGCAGCTGGGCCACCTAGCCGTGTTGGCGCGTGAAAAGCATCTTTGTGGACCGTTTCCTGTTTGGTGTTGGCCAAAGGGTGGCTTTTTCCGGTGCTTGGTGGCTCCCAGCCATCCCCTCAGCTCTTTAGCCTTTTAGTGTTTAGCGGCAATTTCCGAATCTCACCCACTCAAAGTTCTCAACTTTTCAGCCGGGGGATGTGAAAACGGGCAGCCCAGGCTGGTTTTTCTATGCGCGAAATATGGCTGTTTGGTTGGGATTGGTGAATTCACCACACATTTTAGGCTTCCTATTTTAGTGACGTTGGATTGAATCGGTCCCGTTCACCGGGGGCGAACCGCCAGCGCCAACTGGCGCCGAGGCTCAAGAACTGGGTGCGCATTGCCCGGGAGACCCAGTGCTCGCTGGTGCTGGATGAGATCTACAGCCGGCACCTGGATGGGATCGGAGCGGCCGCCACGTTTCTTTTCTTCTTCTTCTTCTTCTTCTTTTTTGTTTTTCTTTTTTTCCTTTTTTTTCCTTTCTTCTTTTTTGTTCTCGATTTTCTTTTCTTGGACACACCGGAACCTTGCTTTGAGCATAGAGGCAAGACCTCTAACATGAGACCTCAGGCAGTTCCCGCCCAGCGGGACGATAATTTTCTTTCCAAGGTCAGATTCCAAGCTCGTGGGAGGGGGTGTACCGTTCAAAACTGGCATGCCTGTCCAAGGCCATGTGCGCGGCTTTTGTGCCTTCTCGTGGTTCACTTTGAACGCCCTGCTAGCGTTCCACGGGGAAGGATATATTGATTGAGAGCAAGCTCTGTCGATTCTACAAGTGAGTCACATGTGGGTATGGTCCCTGGTGGTTTAATTTTGACCCATACCCACATGTGACTCCCGTGTAGAATCGACAGAGCTTGCTCTCTATCAATTTTTCCTTCCCTATGGATGTTTCCATTTACCAGGGTTCGATTTTGGGTACCTTTTTTTGACCCACACCCATGTTGCCATCGTTTCCATCATCCTTTGACGGTTGAAGCACCGTTGCATTGAGCTACACAGCGATCTCAGCCTTTGCCAACGATATGGGATATCTTTTTCTCGGGGATATTTGGTTTCATGTTGGTCGAGCTATTGAATGGGCACAACTAAGTCACCCATCGTTCACTCCAAGTATTTGAACATCAGCCAATCGCCTTTGCTTCTTTTATTTTTCTTTGCCGGCAACTCAAAAAACAAATATTGCAAATACTCACTTGCTTCCTTTGCAGTTACAGTTGGCACTGTTGGTTTTTGACCTATAGGCTGATTTGCCTCAACGGAGGTTGACCCAGATTCGTATGTTTTGATACCTCGGATTTGCCCCAAGCCTTCCAAGGCCCCAAGCTGCGGCGCGTTTTCTGCTTTGCACTTCAGGTACATCTACACCCAGCGGATGTCCCCCACGGACGCCACGTGGCGAACGGCCCGGCACCCAAGTCGAGCTCACGAGTTTGTGTCGTTTACTTTAGGGACGCCCCAAAAATTGATCAACATGGTGGGTTTTCCTTTTGGTTTCCCTTCAACAAAAAAAGAGGGCACCCCTTCCCCACCCAAAAAAACCAAGCACTTTCCTTTTGTTCTTCTTTGTTTTCAACGCCCACATAGATGGCTCGTCTTTTTTGAGGCTCACCCTTTCTGGGGATCCGTTTTTTTTCTTTTTCTTTTTCCCCTAGGGCTGTTTTGTTTTTAACTAGGACTGGTGCCCTGGTTGGTTAGTTGGTTGGTTGGTTGGCTGGCCGCGTCCCTGGCAACACCAGCCTCACTTGGCCCTGAAACCCGCGGCTCTGATTGGGCAGTTGGGAGTTGGGGGCTGGTTTAAGTTAGGGGGGCTTTTGGCTGGCTTAGATCTTCATGAGGGTGGGTCTTGGGGTGGTTTGGGGTTGATGTAGGCGAAGCGAAGGGCTGACCTCCAGGCTGCTGGCTGGCAGGTTTAGGGTTGACTTTGAGTGGGTTTGGGTTGGTTTGGAGCTGATTTGTGTTAGGTGTGCTGCTGGTTTAGCAGCGCCTTTACGGTTGCTTTCGGGTGTGGTGAAGTGAATTTTGGTCCCGTTTAGGATTGGTTTTGGAGTGTTGCCCCGAACCACCACAACTCGCCCACAACTCACTTAACCACACCCTAACCCAAACCCACTCAAAGTCAACCCAACAGCGGCCTAGATGTCCGCCCTTCGCTTCGCCTAAATCAATAAGCCAGCCAAAAGCCCTCCTAACTTAAGCCAGCCCCCAGCAACTCCCAACCCCAGGTCCAAGTGATGCTGGTGATGCTGGGGATGTTGCCAGCCGGTTTCTTCGGGAAGCCAAATTGAAACACCATCCATTTTGAGACAGCCCCTAAAGGGGGATCACATCAGCAACTTTCGAATGAGTTTCCCTTTCAAGCCCACCCTTGCCAAAAAAAACACCCAAAACAACCACCATCCAGGTAGGAGAGTCCAAATTGGTAGATAGTCATGGCGTGTTTTTCGAATTTCTTTTGCATCTTAAGCCCCAAAAAAGGCCACCATCCGGGCACGGAAGTTCTTCATAAACTTCATCTCCTCGCCCGGATCCAAGTTGGATTCCGTGATCCGGCTATGCCTCATGGAGGTCATGGAGGTTTGATCCCCGGAATTAGCAAGCGAAGCTCCAAGCTGTTTGGAAATGGAAGCCCGCTGATGATTTTTGAGATCGAGGGTTTGTGCTGTGCTGTGCTGTGCTGTGCTGTGCTGTGCTGTGCTGTGCTGTGCTGTGCTGTGCTATGCTGTGCTGTGCTGTGCTGTGCTGTGCTGTGCTGTGCTGTGCTGTGCTGTGCTGTGCTGTGCTGTGCTGTGCTGTGCTGTGCTGTGCTGTGCTGTGCTGTGCTGTGCTGTGCTGTGCTGTGCTGTGCTGTGCTGTGCTGTGCTGTGCTGTGCTGTGCTGTGCTGTGCTGTGCTGTGCTGTGCTGTGCTGTGCTGTGCTGTGCTGTGCTGTGCTGTGCTGTGCTGTGCTGTGCTGTGCTGTGCTGTGCTGTGCTGTGCTGTGCTGTGCTGTGCTGTGCTGTGCTGTGCTGTGCTGTGCTGTGCTGTGCTGTGCTGTGCTGTGCTGTGCTGTGCTGTGTGTGTGTGTGTGTGTGTGTGTGTGTGTGTGTGTGTGTGTGTGTGTGTGTGTGTGTGTGTGTGTGTGTTTTTGTGTCTACTGAAGGTGACTGGGCACTTTGACGTGTCGAACTATTTGTGCGATGTGTTTGCATCAGTTTTTTTTTCCCCCGCGCCTTGTGCACGTGAGTTTCAGAGCTGCTCAATCAGCTGGGTTTCCCATCAATTCAGCATCGGTTTTGCTTGAGTCCCAATACCTTTTCACCCCTGAAAACTCATGCGCCCGGCCCCCGGTTGCGCGCTGCTTGACGACTCCATCCCGAGGGCTTGCCCTTGGGATTCAAGGGTTTGGGGTCCATTCTGGGGGTTGATTCCAGGGTTCCACCTCTGGGGGGGGGTTGGTGGGGGAGGGGTTGGTGGGGGTGGGGTTTGGTGGGGGGAGGGGGTTGATTCCTTTCCATTCTTTTCAACCATGGCTCTTTTCAGGAAATCGGCTCCCTGGAAAGAATGGGGAAGGTATCCCTACATCCATGCGGAACATCTCGGGCCCCACTTGGCTGCGATCGTCTGATCAAATCGTCGATGACCCAAGGTAATACAGTCGGGTGACTTTCCACCATGCCCTTACCCTCCCACCAAGTAGCATGGAACCTGACCGGGTAAGACCATTTTTCTTTGCAGCTTTTTAGCTTTTTAGTGTTTAGTGGTAGTTTCCATTTAACCCATTAAAAATTAAACTTTTAGCGGGGATCTGAGGGCAGCCCAGTCAGGTTCCATGCTAATTGGTGGGAGGGTAACTTGTCACCACGCGGGCCAAGACCTGGTCCTCTCACGCGTCTGGGGTTTTGGTGTCAGGTCTCTGCAGCTCAATTTGTGGAGGATGTGAACAAGGACCCGGTGATCCTTTTGGACGGCCTCACAAAGTGCCAAGCCAAGAAGCGAGAACCCGACCCGTCCTTTTTTTTGATTCACAGCTCGATGATCTGCTGAAGGGTCGGTCAGTTGGGTTGAACGCGCCATCAAACACACACACACACATACACACATTAAGCACATCTATATATATATATATAGATATCTGTACATATATATATATATATATATGGTACCCCCCCCCCCCCATGGACCCTGGTTTGGTGCGGTTGACCTGTATTTTCCAGTGTTTTATGCTTCTTTTTGCTTCTTGGATTTGTGTCAAAATTGGGGGGAGGGTCGTACATGTATATGATACGCATGCATGCATACAGATGTGATAAAAGCAATGATATCAGCACCTGCAATCTGAAAGAGTTTGAATGCATCCAAGAATACAAGAACAACTCAGACATTTTGAAAATTTTTTAAAAATTCTGGGATTCAAGATTCAAGATTCAAGAATGTGAGAACATATTTTCTGGGAATCTTGAATCTTGAATCTTGAATCCCATAATTTTTAAAAAGTTTTAAAAATTCCAGGGTTGTCCCAATACTCTCGGTGTTCAAAAAGATTCTCGGAAAAGTTTTCCGTGAAATAGTTCAATCCAGTGGTAACGGTGTTCGAGGTGATAGAACAACTTGAACATTTTAGGGGTTGACCAGGATGGATGATTCTCAGGAAAGTGGTGGTTTGTGGGCTCCTCAATATTATTGAATCCCCAATCCAGTGGTAAAGCACTTTCAAGTGTTAGAAGAACTTGAATGCTATTTGGGTTTGGCCAGGATTGACAATTCTCAGGAAAGTGTTCTGTGTAATCTTCAATATTGAATCTTCCATCCGATAGTAGCAAATTTTCAAGTGCTTAGCGATCCAGTGGACACACTTTCAAGTTATTGGTTAGACAAACTTTCAAGTGCTTTTGGTGAGCTTCATGTCAGCTATGCTCATGTTGACCCCTTTCCAGGAGGTAAACAAAGGCAGGTGCAACGCTCAAAAATACTGCATTTCCCAGTATTTTATGAGGAGGCGCAGGATCATTGGGGGTACTATATATGTGTGTATGTATGTGTATATATAGATCTACATATGTATGTACGTTCACACACTGTCCCCCACCCTCTTCAACTACCTGTCCACATTTGCTCATCTACTACCTCCACCTTTTGACATAGAATTAACTTTCCTGCGCAAATAGAACTTTAAATACAACGGTTTAGCTAGAATCCCTGTTTCGAGATAGTTTTGAAATTTCCCTTTGGAACACCGTCTAACAAGTTCAATGTCGGACCTTTCTTATGCTACAAAAGGGCCAGAACGTAAACAACACAAATCCTATTTTTAATTTCCAAATGTTTAGCCATATTCAATATGAATTATATTTGAGATGTAGTCTCTATTCACTTGATATTAGCAAAAGCAAATTAAATTGTGTTCGTCTTAGATTATACTTACCACTTGGATTATATTTGGGAAACAAAATCCATCTAACTTCTTGTGATATAGATTAGTTGGAGTTTAGCCGAATATATATATTTACATTTTCATGTAGCTGCTATTTGGAAAGGATTTGCTTGTTTAAGCTGTAATTGAACATAAACACATTTTTGAAAACTATATCCATACTAAACTATATTCAAAATTCCAATTCTAGTTGAAGTAACTTCTTATGTGCAAAGGGTATCATACTGGGACATTGTGGAGGACTCCGGGCTCCAAATTATCACGCTTTGGGGACCCACAATTGGAAATTTCGAGAATATAAATTTGGAAATTCTAGATTTGCCATCCCCAAAAGGCAGTAAAACCAGGGTCCATGGGGGGGGGGTTGCATATATATATATATATCTATATATATATAGATATATATATATATACATATATATATATATATGCGTGTGCATTTGTACACATAGAGGCTCACACCATGAGCCAAGCCCGCTGGTGTCAACCCTTCTTTGTACCTTTGCACCACTTGCGTTTCTTCCACATGGGGTTGATCAATATTTCGTTCGGCCCCAAATGACCATGGGTCACATTTCTCATCAGTGGTTGAAATTATCAAGTCTTTTGAGTGGTTTTCAAACCAACCTTTTGATCAACCCCAACATAGAAAACCCTTTGTACCTTGGCCAGTCTTTTTCCCACTAACAATCGTGAGTACCACTAGGTGTCCTGCGCCATCTCAAGGGCGCAGGGGCGGACCGGGAGCCTTCGTCGAAAAAGTAAAGGTTGGAAGGGTAATTTGTCTGACGAGACCATGTGCTGAATGTTCCGCCCGAAAGCCGCGAAAGCCCCGAAAGCGCCCGAGGTGCTGGCGGATGCCGGGGCTGCGGATCTGTTGGATCGTGGCGCCCAAGGCGGTGATCGATGCCGTGGGCGCCGCCGGGTCCTTCCTGGAGCGGGCACTGGGGTTCGAAGCGGGCGCGTCTGGGGGGTTTGGTGGGGGCGGTTTGGTCGGGGGGGGGGGTGATCTGGTGGGGGCAAGCAAAGACGCCCCTCTTCTTCCGTGCAAGTTGTTTTTTTTTTTTGGGGGGGGCTGGGTAGGGGTGTGTGGGAGATTTTGACCGCTTAATTGGAAGGGTGGCGATTTCGATTGTTGTCGGGAGGGCGGGGGAACAACTGTGTCGGACACCTGGTTGGGGTCCATTTAGGGAACCATTTTCTTTGGGGTATTGTGCTTTGACTTGACTTGGTGGCTCCCAGCCATCCGGTTCCTTAGCTTTTTAGTCTTTAGTGGTAGTTTCCATTTAACCCACTAAAAGTTAAACTTTTAGCGGGGATCTGAGGGCAGCCCAGTTCAGAATTCAACAACCAAGTGTCCGACATAACCCCCACCCACTGCCCCCAGCCGTATGTAGGGAGTGCTGTTTGTTTGGTTTTGGTGCTGCAGAATAGCCTCCAAGTGCCCGGGCAGACTGGCCGCCCCAAAGAAAAACAGATCAGATCTTTTTCAACCAGCGATCTTCTACATTCACCGGCCAAGGGAGAGAAAAAGTAGGTGATGCTCAAAGTATGGTTCCATCTCTATTTATCCTCAGGTGGCTTTACACCTCACCTTTGGGAGGTGGCCGTGGGTCAAAATCCGGGTAAATGGAACCCAGGATTAAAACCTGGGGTCCCCTGGTGGTCTAATCTTGACCCACACCCACGTTGCTTTTGGCAAGGGGTTTGAGGGTCGTCAAAACCGTGACAGAGTTTGGCTTTCGGTGCTGCTAAAAGCCCTTGAAGTGTTCTTGTAGAGGAAGATGGTTTTCCTCCCCCAGTCAGCTTCCATGACGCACCTTGTTGCTATCATGGAAGTGGAAACATGGCCTTTTGAATAGGACATGTCGTTTTCGACACCCTTTTGTCAGCTTCCATGATTGAAGGGAGGGTACCTTAGCCTCATGAAAGCGTGCAAGAAGCTGCAACCCCCCAACAAAAAGAAGAGGAAATCACTACAAACGAAACGCCAAACACCTTCAGTTTGATTGGTTGTTTGGATTGGTTTGGATTGGTGTTCCGGGGGTGGTTTCCCATTTGCCACCTGCAAGAACCAGGGGTTCAAGTCCAAATCCAAACCGCGAATCCAAACCATTAGAGTCAATCATTAGAGGGAATCTGAGGGACTGAGAAATGTTGGTTTCCAGTAATCCTTGATTGGGGTCCTTTTTCTTTGGGTTGGTTCACTGGGAAACGCAAAACAAAACTTGGTGGCTCCCAGCCATCCGGTTCCTTAGCTTCTTTGATCCTTTTAGTTTTTCGTGGTAGTTCCCGAATTTCACCCACTAACAGTTAGTCACTTTTCGCGGGGGATCTGAGGGCAGCCCAGAAAACAACACCATTTTCGGGGTCTCCATACTGTGGACGGACGAAATCCCTGCACCACTTTGAAACCATGGGAAACCATAACGTTTGTTGGGATTTACAGGCCAATCGAATCATTCGAGGGTTTCTGAACGGTGGTGCGAAATGGGTTCGCAACCATCCGCAGTACTTTTCATGATTCCCAGTCATCCGGTTCAGCTTAGCCTTTTGGATCTTTTTGGTTGGTTTAGTGGTTGGGTTCCCATTTGCAGTAAAAGGTTCTCCATAGTTTGAGTGGTTGGGTTATCCATAGTTTCCCATGGCCCTATGACATAGCAAGTGGTTGGGTTCCCATGGGCATATCCATTCGGCGCCTACGCCGTCGGCCACCCCGCCTGCCACCCCGCCTGCTTCAGGACGGAGGCCCTTCGCTGCCGACGCAGCGCTCCTGCGTGCCGCTGCTGAATCCCAAGGATCGCCTCGGTTGGGTCGCGGCGGAAACCCAACCGCCGCACGAGAGCAGTCACAAGGAAAACGACACCAAGGGGGGATATGGACTAGGTCCCCCAGCTAGGTGCCCTTTTATGACCAACTTTTTGTGGTTGGGAGGGTTCCCCATCTAAAATAGACTACAGAAAAAAAGGATACCCTTATTCTGACCGCTCTACTGGAGGACCTGGTGGATGTGTCTTGAACAAGGGCACCCCCCAAATGTGTTTTTTTCCCCCCTTCGGTTTCCCTTTAAAACCAACCCAAAAAGGTCCCCGAAAGAAAAGGACACACCCATAGGACGGCATGAGTGTTTTTTCAGGGTGGTTCCCCAACAGCTGAAAGCTTTGGGGTCTCAGCCCAGATAGGCTCCGGGGTGGTCCGGGGCGGCCCTGAGGTAGGGTTCCACGAGGGTTCCACCAGGGTTTTACCAGGGTTCCACCAGGGTTTTTCTCCAGGGTTCCACGAGGTTCTGCGAGGGCTGCGCGGTGGTGCGAGCACTAAAAATAGCACCGCATGCTGTTGGGGATATCACCTGAGCTTAGTTCAAGCATCGGTTTCTAGGGTTGGGCGATGAACAATTTCCAGGCAGAAAACATGGCTTTGAGGGCCAAATGCTTCAAACCGCCTCGTTTTTTTTTTTCCCCCCCCCCGAAAGCATCGCGAAGGGTTCTTCCGTGCGGAGCCCTTGGACAAGTTACACAGAGCTAAGTTGCACAGAGCCAAGTTGCACAGAGCCAAGTTACATAGAGCCAAGTTACATAGAGCCAAATTACATAGAGCCAAGTTACATAGAGCCAAGTTACATAGAGCCAAGTTACATAGAGCCAAGTTACATAGAGCCAAGTTACATAGAGCCAAGTTACATAGAGCCAAGTTACATAGAGCCAAGTTACATAGAGCCAAGTTACATAGAGCCAAGTTACATAGAGCCAAGTTACATAGAGCCAAGTTACATAGAGCCAAGTTACATAGAGCCAAGTTACATAGAGCCAAGTTACATAGAGCCAAGTTACAGAGCCAAGTTACACAGAGCCAAGTCAAGTTGCACAGAGCCAAGTGGCACAGAGCCAAGTGGCACAGAGCCAAGTGGCACAGAGCCAAGTTACACAGAGCCAAGTGGCACAGAGCCAAGTGGCACAGAGCCAAGTGGCACAGAGCCACGTTGCACAGTTTTTACATGGGAGGTCCATGCCCAAGCCTAGCTGAAATTGTGTGGTCAAGTTGATTAGGGGTTCTACCATATTTGACCTTTTTTAAAAGGACATTTTGGCTTGCTGGTTTTGAAGGGAAGCCAAGAGGGCAACCACCATGTCGGGAGGTCCCCTAAAAACAGCACACCCATTCGTCCTTTCTTTTGGCTCCTTCATGTATCGGTCCCATTCGTTTTTGCCCCAGCTGAAAGGTTGGGGATCTTTGGTCCTCCTGATTAGATGGAGGTTAGCAAGGGATAGTCCGAACCATAGGCGCGGATACTCTGCCCTGAGTTCTTTACATGGTTTTGGTTTCACCACATTTTGAACAGGGCTCCTTAAAAGATACATTTTGCCCATTTGAAACATGGCTTTTTCACAAGAATAGAAGGACACCACCATTTGCAAGGCAATGTTCAGGTGTGTAGTGTACGGATCCCTGTTGAAGTGCCCTTTGTTTTGAGTAGGACTCACCTGGTCCTACTGTGGATGGACGATATCCTGCATCACCTAAGAAACCCTGGAATGAATGATTCCCCTGTAGCAACAAACCATGGCTTCCCATGGTTTCAAGGTGGTGCGAAATGGACTTCGCACCCGTCCACAGTATTTCCTGGTTGGGGTGTGGCGGTTTCGGGTTGGTTTCGGGCTGGTCCAGGGCCAGCCCCGCGGGGGTCTAAGGACTCGGCTCGGTTCTGTTCATATTCAAAACACCGGGCACTAGGGTAGGGACCTCCCCTTGCACAGAAATGGGTGTGGCTCAAAATTAAAGAGCTCGGGTTACGCAGGTTTTGGTCCATGTTTCCACTTACCAGGGTTCCATTTTGGTACCGGTTTTTTGAGCCCCAGCCAAATGGGTGCAAGTGTCCGGCTTTTCAATCCTTTGCATTGTTCGGGGTTCACCAGGTGGCGGTTTGATGATGGCTCATATGCGTCCAGGCATGAAATGAGGCGAGAAACCGACTGACACAGAGGTCATATCAGATAGTGGCATCATCCGCAGACATAAACGCAGGTTCCCCAACTAAGGGAGGCCCCAAGTGCGAGATCCTGATGTTTCACCTCTAAATGCCAACCAATGTGGCTGTCGCAACCATCCAGTATGTTGCACAAAGGAAACAAAGCCAGAAAAAAAACAAACGGTGCGAATCGGAGTCTACGAAATTCGACAGTGATGGATGGACAGGGATGAAGGAGGAATGTATGGAAGAATAAACCTCTGGTTGATTCCAAGCAGGGTATCTCATTCGAGAAGTTTCATTTGGAGAAACGCATTTGACTTGTCTTTATGGCTATCTGGCAAAGGATCTTTTGGATTTTTACTTTCTGGGAGACGTTTGGGATTTGTTTTTGCATTGGAGGGCACAAACAGCAACACTTTTTGCAGAGGGGTCAACAGCAACGAAGAACTTATTGCTGATCACTCCTGGGTCGACATTGCCCGTTGCTCGCTCCGGCAGGATGTGATTGAGCAGACCATCATGCTGCAGGCTGCGATGTAGAGCCAGAGGGGAGAGTCTCGTTTCGGCAGACAGGGCAACAAACATGCTTCCCCTTTTTAGGCGGTTGAAACATCGTGAGAAGATTGTCCAGTTTAAAAAACAAAAAACTGATTTGATGGTTTCGTCCTTTTGCCACTTTTGGGGTTCCATGGTTGGCAGCAAGTTGTGGATGTTTTGCGGGCGTGTCGAGGTAGGGTCAGGGGATTTTGGATGATCGACCGCAGGTAGAAGCCCAGAAACATCCAAATTCCCATACGCAATGCTTGACATCGGCCTCTTTGAATGGAGGAATTCCAGGACTTCGTGGGGTAGTTGAGGCTCCATTCAATGCTTCCTCCAGTTTGAAGTTCCTCCGAGAAATTTGCTTTTGGCTGGCTGCGCAACATGGAACATGGACCCCTCAACCCCCAGCTTCCTGGGTCCTAGGAGCCTCCCTCCTTCTGGCGGTTTTTGGGGAATCTTCGGAGCTGGCAGGTGGAACACAGCCATAGGAACCCTTGAAGCGGCTGATGTCAAGTTGGACTCCGTGAAGCTGAGCGATTGGTCCCCCAGCCAGGTGCCGATTTTTACCGTTTCTTTTTTGGTTGGGAGGGTTCCCCTGCTACAATAGAATACAGAAACAAGTTGGTACCCTGATTCTAACCGCGCAAAACTGGAGGACCTAGTTAAGTCATAGTACTGCTTCTTGTTTAGTTTGTTGAATTCACGATGGTTGTGCAAAATAGGGGGTTTAGGGGCACTTTCTGTGATACCAAGCAAAACCTCCTGCGAAGTGATTCAGTCACGGAAGTGGTTCATGCTGGTATCACAGATTTGGGGCGGATCATACCCCGGACCCCAAATGAAAGGAATCTTGGGGGGGTATGTTCAAAAGGTGGCGATCTGCGATCTGCTGGTTCACCTACTCACGCTTTTCATACAAATCCCGTTGGACGCTGAAGCCCAACACGCAGCGCTGGCGTGCGGCAAAACCGGCATGTGATGGTGCTCAGCGGACACGACCCAACAGCGGCTGAGTGGCGAGCCGCCTGGGTGAAAGCCGTAGCGAATTTGCCGTCGAGGCAGCCTATCCCTGCGGCGGAGGTCCGCTAGGGTAGCGTCAGGCTGGGCTGGCGTAGCGGACTTGAGTGGGGCGTCAGAAATATTGCAAGCCATTCCAAAGGTTTTTGCCAGACTGGCGCCGCCCAAGCCTGTGCTCTGACAGGGGGTGGATTTGCTTTGGGGAGAGGAAGGCATCATTGGAGCTTCCGATTGGCTTTGCTTGGTTTCGATCAGTTTTCTTTGACTTCCCTTGTTGTCCCTTGTTTCCCCTTGATTTCCTATTGGGTTCCCTTGACTTTTTTTCTTTGAATGGCCCACAAGCAGGGAGGGGTCCTCCTGATTTCTGGTTGGATGGCCAGGCCCCGTGCTTTGTAAAAGGTATGTACCAGTTAGGACATTCGGCTTCCAGTTGCTGAAATGAATATGTTTGTTTATGTTTCCCCTGTCCAGAGTCATTTTAAACAACACATTTTTTTTGATTTTTGGACTTTTGCTTCTTTTGCTTCCAGACTGCTGGGTGGTTTCTATGTGCTATTTTCCCCTGTTGGTGTCAAAGGGGATCGATTGCACTGCTGGGCAAACATATTTCTATGGGGACTCATGCATGTAAGGCTTGTCAATCCGAGGTCCTCTTCAGCCACAAGAGGGACTTTCTTCTTCGACGGCTACAGGACTGCAGGGATTCCTCAGTTGTTCAGTGGCACCCTTTTTCCCATTTCTTTTGGTGGCTGCCCCACTAAAAATGGTCTTCCCCAAAAAGGGTTCCCTTTTTTTCCCAGGGTCACTCAACACCTCAGATTCTGGGTGTGTCTTAGTTTGGACCCAACAGACCGGTTGGTTTGCCTTTGGCTTCCCTTTAAACAAAAGCCGCAAGAAGGGTACCACCGAAGAAAGACGCACATAGAAAGGTTCGCCTCAAAATAGGTTCCCCCTCAAAAGAAGAGACAGGTTGCCTGTTGGTTTCCCTTCTCAGCGATTTCGGGTATTCAAGTACACAAGCCGAAAAAAAGGGAGTTTGTTTTTCTTCTTTTTTTTTTCTCTGTTAATATCCCCATACCTCTCTTTTGGGCTAAAGGGAAAGTAACGGGATACGGCGGATTTTACTAAGTCAACCTTAATTTTGGTGATTTGAATGGCGGTGTGGCAACAGTTTGGGATTTGAACTCGGCAGGTTTCCCCACAGCGGAACACCTCCAAACCGGCGGGCTCCAAACCACCACATGAGAGACCTCTTGGCAGGGAAAGCAACGGGACACACCACGGGCACGTTTTGAAACGCATGATTCTTGTCAGATGGCTCAGTTCCAGCATGGAAGACTAGCGCCAGCTACTTATAAGCGACCCACCGACGCGATGTGCCATCTACTGTTTTTGCGACTGGGGTTGAGCCATCTACTCTCAAATCATTGTAAACCAACACCTGCTGGTTTTCCCCTTCCGGTTTTAACGGGAATCTATCACCACCGGAAGTATTTTTATGTCTTTTCCCCGGGGGCGAAGACGCAAATGGAAGATGATGGGGGGATCTCGGGAAAAACCTTTGCGAGTCTCCTCCTGGCCTCGAGCCAGACCGCCCCGCCGAAGGACTCTCAGCCAGACCCAAGGGTCTTACCCACATTTACCCGAATATATCCCCCCCACCCCACCCCCCCCCACCCAAACATGGGGTGAGGCTTTGTGGTAAAATTAGGGATCCCCCAAAAATCACACGCAGACGCACACAACACAACACATCTTGCTTTTGGATTTCTTCTTTTGCCGACCAACAAAGGGGGGGAGGTTCTTCAAGACAGGGGTTTCCACTCATGTGGAGAGCTCGTTCGGACCTCCGCGGCCTTCAAAACTCTCGTTTTCCCGGCTCAGGCGGGCCACCCTTAAAGCACTGGTTGGGCAGGAAAAAGCCACCACTTGCTGCAATGAACGTTTTTAAGCTTTCCCTTCTTGGTTGTACAGGGCAACGAATACGGCTGGACATATTCCCGGTTATTTGTCCAGGGGGCGAACACAAAGGGGCCAGTACTTCACCACCATGGTTTACCGATTTGGGCCTTGGGGTTTGTCATCCAAATTTGGAGCCCCAAGTTGCCGTTCTCTTCTGGGACTCGGTTTCAACCGATGGGTTTCGCTTCCCAGGACATGGGAATCACCGTGGAGACTCCGCCCCAGGCGGGGGCCCGCGCATCGGGCAAATCTTCATCAGATCGAATGGACGCTGCCAAACATCCTGCTTTTTGGCGTGCAATGTTCAGTGGAATACAACATAGACACCCCGTCTTTTTGTGTTTTTCTTTTTCTTTTTACATTCTTTTTGCGAGAGGACCACAGGGAAACCAGGGAAGTGCGGAGTCTAGACCTGCGCCAGAAGAGTGGAAGGACATCTTTGGAGGCATCCGAACGGAGCTGAGGATTCTGTTGTCCGCGTTGCCCATTTGAGGGCTGTCTGTCTGTTGTTGAGAGAGCCTTTGAGGATGTCTAAGCTTTGCAAGTTGGCGAACAAGGGGAGCATGAGGACATTGTCGGACATTCAAAAGGGTTTCATGGTTGGTAGTGGTTCACATCGGAACAATCAGACCAGACCCTATTTTCCCTAAAACTTAGGCTTTGTTGGACTCTCCACACCGGCCGATGTTCGGTTTCTTAGCACGAAGCCCTAGCTGAGGCAAGGACTTGAAAATCACCTTGGCCCAGCACTGAAGCCGGAAACACAGCAACTTCTGTTTAAACCAAAAGTCATGACGTGGCATTCACAGGTGCCTGTGGGTCAAAAATAGGGTAACCCCCAAATGGCTTGCCCTGGTAAATGGAAACATGGACGATTTAACCTGCGGTCCGATTCGTGTCCTTTTGATCGTTGGTTTGGCAATGGAAATCGGTGGGTTCCACGGGTTTTCCTTAGAGACAAATACCCCATTTGTCAGGGAACCCCATCTATTTTACAAAGAGGGCACCTCTTTTGCACATTTTTTTTTTTTTTAAACAAACACATTTGAATTTGCTAACCTTTTTCGCCCGTTTTTTTCCCCCCCGGCCGCACATGTCAGCACAACAAAGTCAATCCCGCCGTTTCCAAAAAGCAGCCCGTTTTGAGGGCAGACGTGCGTGCTAGTCGGATCGGAAGGCCTGGCCCAATTCCGTGGCATGATGTTGCGGATGGCTGAGCAAGGAAAAACGCGAGCGTCCCCAAGAATGGCTTTTGCAGGGTGTGTCCCATAGGGGGCGCGAACTGAGCGGCCAAACCGGGAATTTTCCGAGTCTTCTTGTTCAATGCTTGCCGCTAGCAGTCCACCATTGGCTGGTGCGCTGAGCTTAAAATAGAGCCGCAGGGCCCCCAGATCTGGCTTGCCCTTCGATTTCCCTTCAAAGCCACTACAAGGGCGTTCTCAAAGAACGACATGCCCAAATCGGGGGTGATTTGGACCCCCCAAAATTGCAGTTGTCCGGCAACCGTGTGTGCTTCCGGCCATGGGTAGTTGTGCTGGCTGTGGTTTGCTGAGCCGGGCACGTTGCCTAAGCCATTGACTTTGACAGTACATATGCCTTTAATATCTTCGGACGTTGCCATTCGAACACAAGCATATAGGCGAATACGAGCCGAAGAGGACTCGTGCCTTGCTTCTGCGCTCCCGCGCAGGGCACCTTCTACTGCTGGTGTGACATCTCCCGGCTGCCGCCGCCGCTGAACAACTGCCGGGAGCTCAAAGAGAACATGCGGCTTCTCCCTTCGTGGCTCCCAGCCATCCGGTTCCTTAGCTTCTTAGCTTTTTAGCTTCTTAGTTGGTTTAGCGAGGATTTCCATTTAAGCAGGGGATCTGAGGACAGCTCGGATATGATGAGAAGCTAAAGAACTATGAGTAGTTTACCCCTCTCATGATCCAATTTAGTTTCGGAGTACCTCAGTTTCCCAGCAAACCGCCTTAAGCATTGGGTAAGTGGTTTATCAGGGGTTCCATGCATTCCAACTGGTGGATTTTGTCTATCCACATGAGCCTTTGACGGACTGCATGGCTCTCTTTTTGGGCTTGCTCGAGAATGCGAAGGGCAAGCCCATGGGGTCCATGCGGCAAGCACGAATGCTTCAGGGGGTACTGCTGAGAAGCTGAGGTCCGAAACGAAACTTGGGTCGCGAGAGGAGTAAACTATGTGGTAGTTGTTGAGCTTCTCATACCCAGCAAGTTTTAAGAGACTTGGAGCTGGGAGGTCTTCAGACCCCCTGCTAAAAGTGGAAAACTTTCGTGGGTGAAATAGAATCCGAACACGCCCCTAGTTCGACTTTCCCGGGTCATTCCTGGCATTTGCCCCCTTCCGAGGCTGGGGGTTCTTCCGCGAGATGCTGAAAGAGAAGGCCAACGAATCCGGGCCGGGGGTGAGTTTGTAACTCCCAAGAGGGGTCCGTAACGGTCTGTATACAAGGGAGAAGTTGAGCAGACTTTGCACATCTGGTCTAGTAAGGGGGTTCTTAGAAGCTTCTTAGATTAGAAGCCTGGGTGTTCCAATGATTCGCCCTTTGACGGCCTTTTTTTTTGTTCTTTTATTATATATATATATATACTCGACTCAAGAGGAACCCATAATTTTTTGCTTCCTTGTGGGACTTTCTGGGAAGCCCCTGGGCGTATCGGCGCACCCGATGCGCCGATGCACCGGCTGCTCTTTTGCACCGACGTGCGACGTGCAAGAAGCACAGCGCCGGATTGCGGGCACTGGTTTGGAGCTGGTTTGAGGTTGGTTTCATAGGTGTCCTCTTTGATTGTTTTGGTAGAAAAATAGATGGCCCTGGTTTACCTGGTGGTTTAATCATCTACCAGGGCCATCTATTCGCCCTAAAAGGACACCTATGGTTGGTTTGCAGTGGTTCAAGGCTTGGACTCGGATGATGGGGTTGCTTTAGACAAATCAATTAGACTGATTCTCTGTGAGCAGCGCCCAAAGCGGTTCCTATTGGTCAAGCTCGGTGGTTGTACTGCCTCGCTTGGGCCTGTGCAAAACCCTCCAATCTTAGCTTTTACCCTTTCTGTTTGGTGGCACTAAACATGATGAAGCCCAAAACGAGCTCCCTTTTGCTGCCGTTTTGGGTCACTGCTCGACTGGGCGCAACATCTTATCCATCTTGGCAGAGCCCACGTCTTGGGCCGGGGCCGACTTGGCCGAGCTTCTTTGCCAGCGTTGCCAGGTGATTGTGACCCCGGGCGTGTTCTTCGATGTGAATCCAGGGAGCCGAAGGAGGGGAAGGGGTGAGGTGGGGTGGGGTGAAGCTTGGCTTTTTGCTATACGACATTGCTTATCTTACAAGACAGGCCCAAAGTAGGTCTGTATTTTTGAGCGCAAAGCCGATTTGCGGTTTGTACTGATAACAGAGTCAGGCCACCGTTCGGCTCCACCGGCGGAGAGAGAGAGAGAGCAAGAGAGAGTCGAGTAAGGAGTGTTGGGGGAGAAAGTGGCGTGAAAACCCCGATGCTAAAGGCAAATCGGCTGTTTTTCCCAGCTTTTTCTCGCTTGGGTTTCAATGCGGATGATGCTGGCGATGCAGGGTCTGCATCCCCCGCATCCCTAGCATCATCAGCGCTACCAACCCTCATGTAACTCAGAGGGTGGGTGTTTCCCCTGCAGCCTCCAGCGACAATAGAATTCGGTGAGTAAACTCCAGCTTCTGGTGGTCATTTCGTGAGTGTCTCCAATATCATGTCATTCCATCTGCCACAGAAGACGAATATTTAACCGTTGCTCACATCGTGGACATTTGTTTTGCTGCGACTCTCGGGGGCTCAAACAACCACTCTTGGACCTAGCAATGTAGATTTGTCCCTCGCACGCTGAAATCCTTTAAGTAAATGCCTCATTGGAAATGGACGGCCCGTTCTAAGGACACTCTTTACGAAGTGTGGGCTTCTTGCCTGTATTGCTTCGGCCTTTTTTGAGTGTCCAAGTTGGGGTTGCACTGCACATCCCCTCCAACTGCTACAAGCCCCACAAGGGCACGAAATGGTTGATAACCCGGGGTGGAGGTACCTTCCCCATTCTTTCCAGGGATCCTTCTTTCTAGAAAACCTCCGGAACCCCCCAAAAAATGGCTGGTTTTTGAAAAGAACTATGGTTGAAAAGAATGAAAAAGGAATCAACTCCTGGGCTGCGAAGATCTCTGGTTAGGTCTAGGGAGAACCGGTGGTTGTGTGAAAGGGGCCCAATCTTTTCCCTTTGACGGCACCGGCTTTCACTCCCCCATTGCCCGCCCGGAATCGCTCGCCTTCATCCCGAAATTAAGAGTGTGCAAGTGCGTCGTCACCGAAACGTGCAATACTCAGCATGGCACGCCCCAAGGTTCTCGGTTTCTTCTCTTTGGATATCGAGCACCCTAAAGTCAAGCCTACCTTGAAACCCATACTCAAAACATGGAACTCCTCCAAACCTCCTGCGATCGTTTTTTCGTTTTTTTTCTTTTTTTCTTCATGCTTTTTTTGGTACTCAAATCATGGAAACCTCTGCCACACGTTCTCCTCCATGCGGTGTGTCATCTTCAAAGTCAAACTTACGCTCTAAGTTGCGTCTTGAAGGGATCCACCCCAAAAGTACATTTGAGAAACCCTCAGGCCATGCAACCGCTTCGATGTTGGTGGGAAGCCCACTTTGGTTACCCCTCCCTCCAACAATCATGGAAGCTGATGATCGGCGGGTTCTGGAAGACGACTTTCCTTTTGGGGATTTTTTGTTCCATTTGGTTGTCGCGGAAAGGGTAAATCATTTTCTTGGTGTTTTATTCGTAGGTGTTCAGTTTTTGTTTGCAAACCACTAAAGTTGTTTTTTGTTTCGTTTGCAAGACTCGTTGGTTTGTTTGTTTTTTTTGTTCGTTTGGTTGCTTTTGTGTTTGGTCAGCGTGATTGAAACCCCACATGCTCCGAGCACTTTCATCCGGTTCCTTAGGCTCTAGAAGTTCAGCTGAACACGCACGGTGCTTAGAGCCACCCAGTTGCCCAGCGGATCCCGCCGTTTTTTTTTTTTTGGGGGGGGAAGGGGCCCGTTGCGATTCCTGAAAGTCAAGCAACCAAACACGGATGCCCATTTTTTCCCAGCGCCAGTTTGTTTCGTCCTTTTTTTTGGGAAGGGCTCGAATTGAAAGTCAGGCAACCAAACATGGACGCCCGTGTTTTCCCCATGGAAATCCACACATCTGAGACTCCCGCCGAACTCGCGAGGAAGTTCAATAGCTACGACTCCTTCGTGCGAATCTCCTACGGCCCCAGCTTCAAGGTGGCTTCGGCTTTGGCTGGGTCCAACCTCAAAGTGGGAGTTGGTGCCCTCCCACCAACTATCATGGGTTTGTGCAAAAAGGCCAACTAACCAAGAGGAAAGACTCGTCTTTCAGGGGTCTGTGCACAAACCCATGGAATGGCTAATAGGAGTTGGTACCCGTTTTGTCCTCGCTGCTTTCTTTCTTTTTGGGGGGGGGTCCACCTAGAAAAAGGACCCGGAACAAAAGGGATACCAACTCGTTGGACCCCCAAAATGGTGGGTGTTCCTTTTGCCACAGAACAAAAGGGGCACCAACTTCAACTTTTGGGTGTTCCTCTTAGCTTCTCTTTTAAAGCCACAGAACAAAACAGGTGCCAACATAAACGCTGCATTTCATGGGAGCCTCCCAAGTTGCACCCAGCCACGCCCATTTCTTTTTCCCGGTTTGTTTCTCCAATAGCTGGGCTGAAAGCAGTGCTTGTTCGTTTCTTCTTCCCGGAGAGGGTTTGAAGTAGCATCCATAGTTGTTTTTCTTCTTTTTTTTTTTTCTCTTGAAGGTTCCTGGCAAGGTCTGGGAGTCTGGGCTTATTCGGGCCCTACCAACCAACAAGGCCATCTCGGGGTCTCTCAGGGTCTGTCGATTGCACCCGCTCGATCTCTTCGAATCAACGTCTGGTTGTTTTTGGTTGCCGGCCGTGGGGTCAGTTCCCCAAATGGCCACCCTTTTGGAAGGGGGGGGGGCCATCCCACAAGCCCATTTCTCGCAAATCCAACATCAATTTGGAGAGCTGCAGGGGGTCCAAAACAAAGGATCCATAAACTTCACAAAGGTGAAGAGTTGCACAAGACTCCCCCTGCAGAGCCGATTGTGGTCTCGGAGATGGCCATGTTTTGTTCGAGAAGTCCTGGGGGGGGTCTTGGGGGGGGGGCGTCTTGCGGCGGGTCTGGGGGGGACGGAGCTTCGGATGCCGACGCCTTTTCAGGAGGTCCAGCGGGGCTTGGACGGGATGCAGCGGGTGATCGAACGCCGGAAGAGGCTGCAGGAGAGATTCGAGCGCTGTGAGGCATCCGGTTCCTTGGCTTTCCGGGACCGCCTGTCATTCCAACTCATTCCCCCCCAAAAAGCCGATCGCGAGCTTTGGATCTTGGATCCGGTTCCTTGGGGTCTTTAGATCTTTTTAGTTGGTTGAGTGGTAAGTTTCCATAGAACCCGCAAAAAGTGAGAAAAAAAACACCTTTTAGCAGGGAATCTGAGGACAGCCCGGGTTTGAATCACCTCTTCTTGGTTTTTTTTAGGGGATCAGCGTTGTTCAGACAAAATTGGAAAGCAACCTTGCTGCAGGAGGAAGACGGCAGCGTTCGCTGGGCCGCGTGAGCGTTGTGCGAATTTCGATTTGCGCTGGCTGTGCAGCCGGGGCATGTATTTGAAAATCATGAATATGATGTGCTACCTTTTTGATGTGGTGATGTCCGCCCAAGGGTCCCCTGTTAACCTTGCTGGTGCTCAGTAGGGAATGACCTTCCGGGTGTTGGATTCGGATGAACCGAAGGGGATTCCCTTAAAGGAACCCACCAGTTGTTTTTTGTTTTTCCGCCCGGCATCATGCTATTTCTCATTCCCTGGCTATGGCACCAGCAGCGATCATGCCCAGATAATGACGGCCGAGGATCTCGTTGCGCGTTTTGCACGTGGCGCATCCGCATCGAGGCTCCGGAGCCCATGATAACGCGCCAGAGACGTGTCGCTGGAGGCGGCAGAAAGGGGCCGTTTGGGGCACCTGTAAAGTGGAGGTGCCGGCCACAGAAGCAGGCAAATGGCAAGTCAAGCGACTTGCTGCGTTTTGCTTGTGTCCAAAGTGATGAGAAAAATAAGTGTTTGGCGCGGCATGTGCAGAGGGGTTCGGGGCTTTCGTGTCCAAAGTGATGAGACATAAATAAGTGCTTGGCGAGGCATGTGGGGGTCTCGGGGGTTTTGGGGCTTTCATATGATTCATGGATCCGGGCAGCATTTGCTTTCAAGAGACAGGCAACTCGACCGGCAGCCCCCAGGACTCAGCCAATTCCAAGCAAAACACACCCAGAGACATGGCCAGTCAAAATGCGACGTTGGAGCGAAGGATGATCCATCAAGCATCCCCTCAGTTGCCTTGATCGATACGATCCCGCGGCTGTCCCGACAGGTGCCCGCCTCGGATGGCTTCTCACAGGGACTGCAAGTGGTTCACGCTCAGATTCCCGAAATATTTGGCAAGAGCAACCACAGACCATGATCTCCTTCTTCCTTTGCAACAACTTTGGTGAATCAATGAATCAATGAATGCCACGACAAGCCTTCCCTTTTGAGCCGGCCCACTATGTTACTTGTCGCATTGTAGGGTTATCTTTTTGGACCTCCAAAGGTGGCAGCGTCCAACGGTGGCAGCCACGGGTCATTTGCAACCTAGGGGCAAGTCACTTCTGGTCTTATCCGCATGTGACTTCTGGTCTTATGGTCTCTTATATAGTCTTAACATCTCAGGATGGCAAACCACATGAGTCATAAAGTCATAATCAACACCTGGGTAAGTGAATGTTAGCAAGGGACAGTCCCAACCTGAGATCGGTGCAACTATCCGCCTTTGTAGTTCTTTGGTTTGGGATTACGAGCATCTTAATACCCTGCCGGAAGCTCCCGAACGGACCCCGAAATGGAAGACCTGGTGGCCCATCCGGATCGGCCAGTTGAATTGGGGAGCTTCCAGCTGGTCGGGAGTGTAGGCGTCCTTTTTAGGTGATGGCTAGAAATAGATGGGTTCCACTGGGTTTTCTTCCATTGACCAGGGACGCCCATCGATTTTCCCAGGAAGGACACCTATGGTACTGATTGGTTTCGAGTCCTTGACACGGACTCAATCTCAAAGCCGTCGCCGACACCGCCCAAAGGCGTGGCATGGGGCCCGGGGGCCCGGGGCGCGGCGCCCCAGCGACCCGTTCCAAGCGCCGTTGGGAGGTTCCAGTTCACCTTCTCCAAAACCCATGTCCTTTTGACCGCTTCTCATGAACTTCTGTTTCGTGCTTTGTTTTCTTCTACATCTCCTGATTGCCTTTGATTCCGACTTGACGGAGGAAATGGGAGATCCTGCACTTGTTTAGCTTCCCTTCCCAGCCGAGCAAGTGAGTTCCACGAAGAGGATGAATGCAGACGCAACGGTTGCTTCTAGAGCCTTTCAAGCTATACCGGACAGTAGAAGCGTGTGAACATCCTTTCCCACCAATCGCCACATTTTTAGACTCTTTTGGCCGTGTGGAGATTGGTGTGAACGAGGGAAGCGGTTGGAACGATCGAGTGATCGGCGACCCAATTCCTTCGCCTTCCGAAAGGGCTCTCTGTCAATCATGTTTGTTCTTTCCTTTGCTTGAGAATCTTCTTTTCTTCAAAAAGCCCGCTGGTTTTAAAGTTCGAATCTATCCACTCTCCTCTCCCACCAGCCTTTCCCCAACACGCTGAATCGCGACATCGCTTTTGATACTCGGCCGCTCATCCAAGCAGACATACGCGCCCTCAGCCGGCTTCCATATCCCTTTGACCAGCTTGGTATGGCTACCCCGAAGGCACCCTCGAATCCACCGACCTGGGCGTGTCAACGTTTGAAGCCGGCGTGGTTCTGCGAAGGCTCATTTTTTTTTTGGGATGTTGAGACACACCCCAGCGGGCTTGGAGTCTGAAGCTTCTGAAAAACCTGCCAACCCAAGGCTTCCGGGAGCGCGGGGCTAAGCGTTCCAAGTGGTTTCCCTTGCTTTTCCGGTTGCAGGGTGGGAAGAAGGGGAGGTTTCTCTCTTCACCATCGGCAAGTTTCTTTTTTTTTGTCTTCTCGGCTTGCTGGTGCAGATCACGTCGCAGTTTTTTTTTGCTGTTAGCATACCAAGGGCTGTAGAGGTATGACCACTTCTAAGACATGAGCCGTTGGTGGTTCCCTTCCCCAAGAGACTTGGTCCCTTGGAAGCCCTTGAGGTGTCACAGAGGCGGGCAAGAACTCGTCCTGTTGCAAGCAAACGCGTCTGAGCAAAGACACGCAGTCTTGAGGATGATCATTGCTCGGGGCTCCTTAAAAGATACATTTTGCCCTTTGAAACAGGGCTTTTTCCACCAAAATAGAGGGAACCCACCATTTACAAGGCAATGTTCAGGTGTATAATGTAGGGATCCCTGTTGCTGAGCTTGGTTTTCAAGCACCCCACGTGTTTTCCCTTCATCATTTAGGTATGCTTGTGGTCTCCCAAAAGAAATCCCCCCCCCCCCCGGATTTTGAGCGCAGCTTATGCTGCCTTTCCGCCCCGCGCGGCCGGAGGCGTCGGGTTTGCGCGGACTCGCAGGACCGGGTGGACGGCAACGCCTGAAGCTTTTCTTCCACAGGTACTGGGTTTTTTTCAGCTAGGTGCCCTTCTCTGCCAACTTTTTTTTTGGTTTTTTGGGTTAGTAAAAAATAGACGTGCTGAAAGAAGGAACGGTACCAACTTGTGCTAACCTCGCAAAGCTGGAGGACCCGACAGGTACCCTCGGGGTGATGCGCTAGGCTACTCTTCAAGGCGCCCAACACCGACAAGTCCGAACAGGGCCCAGGTCAGAACTTTGTTGCATTTTGCCAAGGGATGTTAGGACTGAACAACTTTTTGCCAACGAGTTGGTGTTTCCGTATTAATTAAACCGCTAGAAGTAAAAAAAGAGAGGGAAAAACAACTTTTAGCAGGGGAGCAGAAAGCAACCGAGAGAAGGTGGGTTCTACTTGGGTTTGGTAGGGGTTGTAGAAATCCTCTCCCTTTTTTTTCCCCAACCTGAAAGCTATGGGGTCTTTGCCCAGAAAGGCTCTGGGGTCGGGGCAAGGGAGGGTTCCATGGCTGGTGGAGATACCGCCTGGGCTTATTTTTTGGACCCATTCCAGTGGTCTCAGCCAACTTTGGTTCAGCCACAAGGTGACCAACCCTGGATTTTGTTGCTCCAGGCTAAAAACAAAATGGCTTGAGATGGAGCAACTGGGCTGCTAGCATCTGGGCTTGGATGGAAGCTCAGATGGAAATCGTAAGATCACAAAGCTTCAGCAACGTTCGTCGGCAGCAATCCCTCCGGTGGGGGGCAAGGGGGGGGGGGTGGCTGGTCCGAGAAAAGAACACAAACTTTTGAGGATTCCGCAGGGTTGAACGTTGGTCCGACTTCCGGGTCATTTGCCGGGCCATGGTGTGTTTTCCAGAGCACGTCATTCCCCGGAGGCTCGCGAGGCTGGGCGAAACCAAAGGGAGACCTCTCATGCATAGATGTCCTTTTTTTTTTAAGCGTTTTTTTTGGTTGGTTTGCTGAACAAATAGAAGGCGATTCCTGGTTTACCTGGTGCTTCAATCATCTACCAGGGAAACCCATCTATTTTCCAGAAAGGACACCTTATGCTTTCATGTTGGGGCTTCCAGTCAAGGTTTCACGTTGTTTGCGCGCCAGGAGTGAGGCAAAGATGACCGACAAGGTGAAAAGCAAGGACTTCGCGCGATCCAAGCGATAGCGAGCGCGAACGGGACGGGGCGACTGGATTCATGGGATACATTTCTCAGATAGAAGCCGCTGGGACTTTGGAATAACGTGTCTCTCTGTGTGTATGTGGGTTGGTATATCTGGGCAAATGGCGAGGTCACTTGGGGGGTGTTCGGCTCAGCAAGCCTTTCATTTTGAGCAGGGCGATGGTGGTTTTTCTTTCTCCGGCAAACTGGCCTCGGTTTCCTTGCCTCGACACGTCGCACGCAAATTGCAAGCGATTGGTTGCCTACCTACGCACTGCAACATACCTACATACCTACACACCCACAACCCTACACCTACATACCTACACCTACATATATACATATGTGGGCAATTCGTCAATGGCAACACCTCCTTGACCTTGCGAGACTGTGAACAAATCTTGCAGTTGGTCGGTGATTTATCCCGTGCAGTCACAGGGTTTGGTAAATCCCTGCTCAAAGATTTTTCCCATGCACAGTCAGCAAGCTGCCAATAGCAAGATCTCGTCCCAAGACACGTCGGGGTAGTTTGCAGGACAAGGAGAAGGAGAAGAAGCGGAAGGAGGATTTGCCCGTCTCAGAGGCATGCCTCGCGGGCCTCGAAAATTTGGACCCTCAAACTAGTCATAGAAGGCAACAGCGCCCCCTATTTTTGGGGCAACATCCCATTTTGAAGGGACTTTTGAGGGTCTTGGTACAGCCAAGGGTTAATTCCCCCAGTTGCCCCATCGAGATCGCAGGCGGAGAGGCTTTGCAGGGCTCATCGGTTTCCCACTCTTGCTGTCTCCATCTGGCTCCCTCAAGGCTCTTGGGCATAAGCCAGAAGAGGTCAGGCATTCTTCGTTTGGAAGAACAAAGGGGGGGGGGGCGTGTGGGGCAGGGGGGGGCGGGGTGTGGAAAATCCTAGCAACTCAAAAACCCCCGCTTTTGAGCGTTTC